ATCCATCTAGTCCAACTACCAACCCATCCCCACCATGCCCACTAACCATGCCCCTCAGTGTTATATCCACACATTTCTTGAACATCTTCAGGGACAATGAGTCCACCATCTCCCCTGGCAGCCTGTGCCACTGCCTCACTGTTCCTTTTGAGAAGAAATTTTTCCTAATATCCAACTTGAACCTCTCCTGGTGTAACTTGAGGCCATTACCTCTCGTCCGACCACCGCTACCTGATTGAAGAGGCACTGCAGCATACATACTAAGTTAATGTCATGGAAATCAGTAACAATTTGTTCTTCTATACCAAATTTGGTGCAAGTGTGTGTATATTTCAAAATTTGGAAACTGCAGTTGTATTCTTATGAAGAAAGACTTCAACAATGATCACCTTCAGGTATCACAGTAGATTTAAAAAAAAGTAAAATTTTTAACTGAAAATAATTATCTGCACAACTCCATCAGCCTTCCTTTAGAACAAGCCATGATGTAAATATATTATATTGAAACATTTTTCTCAAAGGTAAGCTTCTTCAATTCACAACTCTGCCTATCAGGATAGCAGATGGTCAGGATGATCTGATGCCAAGCAGCCTGTTGGTATAGCACAAACAGCTTTGAAAAAGCTACACAATAAAGCAGCTTTTTAGCAGAGATGACTTTAGAAATAATAATTCCATATAATGACATATTTTCTTTAATAAAGGCAAGTCATAACCCCTTCATATTCACACATAAGGAATTCTGAAGATAGGAAACGTAACCTAGAAAGGCAAAAATAAATTTTACATGCTGCTTAAAAATAGATGTTTAGTAAGTCAATTTCAGCAGTGCTTCAATGAAGAAAATTAAGATCTCTCAACAAAAGCAAAATACCTTCATGGCATGACAGGAAAACCAACTGTAAGTGAAAAACAGCTACATAGTCCCTAATAAATACTATGTTTTATCTTACCACTATACTTGAAACAAAACAGTAGTAGCAATGTGTGTATATATGGAGGGATGCGTTAAACATATCGTGAAATACTGCAACACAGAGTCAGAAGATAGACTCAGCAGATCTGGTGCTGCTTTTATTATTTCTGGCACAGAAATAATAAAAGCAGTTTAACACTCAAAGCAACATATTAGAGGCAAGACTTCAGTGCAGACTCCAGCTGTGTCTTAGGATTAATTTTTTCAGAGGCAGTATTAGTCAGATAAGACAAACAGCAGCACAGCAAGCAAGAGGAGAAAGAACATGGAAGGTTTCTTCACAAAGGTTGAATTTCCCTGGACTAAACAGAAGTCTTGAAATACTCTTCAGCACCGTCTTCAATGACAGGCTTTGCATGCAGCTGTGATTTGAGATGGCTTGGCTTAGATAAACAAACCTATTCACTCTGTGTGAATAAAGCTCTATTTAATATACATTAATTTGAGCTTAGAGCGTTTCCTTTTTGTCCATTATACATATGCAATAGCTCTAATCTTTTCTGCAGATTCTAATCTGAGAGAGAAAAACTGCTTCTTTCGACAACGCCTGAGCCTCAAATTTACTTCAATGCAATAGAACCTTAAATCTTATAGATTTAATAGAATAAATAGAACCTTAATGCAGTCTAGTTACACCAATACGAAAAAAAATGAGAGTCTGCCCTGGTTTTCAGCAGTTTACTTATGAGCACTGTATGTTCTAATTTTTAGTTTTATTTATTTTTTCAGTCACAGCCTGTAAATTATCGCTCAAATTTTACTTAGAAGGTAGAATACTCACTCACAGTACATTTAAAAACAATCACTATTTTCTTCAGAGAAAGAATATGATAAATAATAAGATATTCTATGATAAATAATAAGATATCCTTTCCCTCATCTCCAGCATGGTTATTTGAATTATATAACAGGAAACAGTTCTAGGTGTTGAAATGTTGATACAGCACAACGTATTGTGAAACATGAAAGAAACAAAGAAATAACTGAATATTAATAATTGATATGTTTTAGGTGTCTGAACCAAGAACTGTTCCCCATAAATTTTCTAAATTGTGTACTTGTTTCTAGAAGCAATACAGAACATGACTGATTCCCTTCAATTATTAAACACATTCAAGAAGAAAATTGGTCAGGAAAATACTTTTGCTTGGTACTATCAGGAGGAGAAAAGACTTATTGGGAAACTGGAGCACTGTTATCTTCTATAAATCCAATATCTCCCAGGATTCCAAACGTGATTTAATCTACTAAGTACACAACAAATCTCATCAAACAAGTTCTATCGATACATTTGTCCCAGTAAGCAAATAGATGAATTTGAAGGCAACTCTGTCTTGGGATAAGTGTTGCTTTGATGAAAAAATCCTAAGATAATATCCAGAGTCTGAACTGAAACAAGCAGAAACTATCTCCCATTTCCCAAGTCCCTGAAATGCCCATGGTAGCTACAGATTAAGATTAAGGAGCCATATGATTTTAACAATGATTCAATGTCCAGCTCAGGTAACAATAAAGGGATTTAATATCAGCATCTTGCAGTTGCTTGCTAGTAATTTTCCACAGTTCTTTCAGACTTTTCCTCCCATCAAAGACATTCATCATTTATACTCAGTATTAACTACCACCACTGCAGACTAGGCAGCAAAAAAAAAAAAGAGTCCTCTAAAGTCAGTATAAAAGCAGGGCTATGAGAATCTACTTTTGGCCCTCTTCTACAAAAACAGATTTGCAATTTCAATATTTTTCCAAAGCATGTCTTGATTATGTCAGTTCAAGTCTACTAAAGACCAGTCTGACACAAACAGGCGAGTTAGCTTTAAAAGTTTTATCAGTACACTGCAAGCTGTTTTTAAGTTAATAGCTAAATTATCCTGAAGCACAGCAGAAGAGTAGGACAAATGTTTGTTCATACATAATACCAAAGATAGGCAAGTCAAATGCTTTTCTTGCAAAGCAGATATAGAATCTGGTCTACCAGATATTTCATGGAAGCACTCAGAGAAAAATATTTTTCTACACAAAATTAATTTTACCTTACATCTTTGAACAAAAGAAGCAAGGCAAATAATGACAAGTGTAAGAATATAAATAATAAGTGGAATGTGGACTAATACAAACTGTTGAAAACCTCAGTATAGATTTAAACATTCTTTTATTTGTGTGGTACCATAATGTTTTACCTCAGTTGTTGAAGTACTAACGACTATTATACTACACAAACATCTAACAGTTAATGTAATAAAGGACCGTTCATTCTATACACAATATTCTCCATCCTAAACATGCTTTCAATTTAAATTAACCACATTTATTTAAGTATTTTTCAATTACATGCACAAAATTCAATACTATAAACATACCAAAGAAACAAGGACTACTTTGGGAATAACTCACAGAAAATTAGGTTTATCTGAGGTATAACCATAATCTCTACAGTGAGTGATGTAACTCAGATACAGCGGAATAAATCAGTGCCCAGAAAATAAATAAGCTATTTTCACACTCAGAACACCTTATTTCCTCTGACTGAAACACCAAAAAAACTAGGCCTTCCCACTCAACCCTCAGTAGGCATTGGAAAAGTAAAACAGAAAGGAGAAAAACTGCAGGAGAAGATAAAAACAAGAATGATGAAGTCTGGACATAATCTACCAGTCACAGTAGATAGGGTAGCAACTTGTTTTTCTGTCAACAGTTTCTACATTCACCATCTTCTCATATGTTCTACTCTACATTAATTTTATTTGCTTAATTACTTACGCAAGGACATAAATTGTCTGTAAATGTTAAAGCACAGGAAAGACACAACTTCATATCTGTGGTTACTGAACATCTTGAGGCAACACATATATTATTTCAGCTGTTAGGGACACTACTAGCACAATGGTTCATCTGACTTGCAGGAAGAAAAACAGAAAAATGCTTTTGATGACCCAGAGACAAACTCCAAATATGCACATAGCACATTAAATTTTCATTCCCCCCATCCTCCTCCATAGAAACCTCAATGCTATAATGTAGTAACAAAAACTGTTTTCTTCATGTTCGAAGACAACTTTATGTCCAGGGTTTAAAGCTACAGCTATGTAGCTGAATGCTATCAAAGAGATAAGCAATTCCTATCATAAGCAATACCCTATGCTTCTCAAAATACATCATGTATATAGGTTACAAGGAAGGGATCATCAGAAGCTATTTTTCTTTTGTAATAATATAAAGGAACTTGCATTTTAATACACAGCATTCTCCCCAGATGAAAGTTTCAAAGTAGCTCTATTTTCTCTTTAAAATTTGACTGATCAATGATCTTTATTATTTCTGCAGTTAGTATTATGCTAATATGAAGTTACTCATTGAGAAATACCTCTGTAAGTAAGAGGAAAGCCACATAATAAATATATAAACAAAGAAATAATCAGTGCAGAAAGACAAGAGATTCAGGTCCTGGAAGCAAACATAGCAGTGGTTAGACAGTTGGTCATTAAGGATTAGAACAAAGCACCTGAAAGCAAAAAGCAGAGACTGCCCTCAGAGTGGCAATCTACAGTTCCTCAGAGTAAGAAAAAGATAGATGACCACTGGTATCATTATGTTTCCATGTTTAATCTAAGGCAGTAATTCTTTCAACTCAGTTGGAGCTGATAATGTAGAAAACAAATGAACTCTTAAGAGCCCAATGAAGATTCCCTAATAGAAAAAAAAGTTAATAAAGTTTATAATAGGTGGGAAAGGGTTGCAAAACTTACTGGGTGATGGGATATTACAGATACAAAAAGGCTTGCCATCTCTGACTTTACTGAGAATTTTTGTTCAGGGATGAAGGATTGGTTTTTTAAACTTGTCATTCTGTATCACAGCACATTTTGTATCACATTTGCACTTTTAACAATTTGTCAAAATAAATCTTACGCAAACAAAACACTGTTTGAACTCAATATTATAAAACTTATGATCACTGTTTTATATGAAAGCTGTTTTGTTTTTCAAGAAAAATGAGCAATGAATTGTTTGCAGAAGCCCTTACCTCCTCTGTGGACTGTGGTTCTGAGAGAACTCTGAATCTGAGTCTTTGGATGTTGGAGAGCCCTTATATGTATAAAAAACATCTTCTGTCTCAGTAATGTAAGAAATCTCATTTGTAAGGTTATCTACAGATGAATGTCGTGCCTTACGAATTTCATGACGTAGTCTAGGACTCCGCCTTAAAAAAGGAAACATGAAGACAAGTTAGTAGGTTGTAATCATTTGTAGAACATTATGAGGAATTATTTCTATTCTACTGCAATCTGTGCCCTGAAGTCTTCTTGTCAGGTTTACGGGTCTCACTTTAAACAACAGATAAAACAGTTTAAATAATGAGTTTTATAAAATTTGGTACGGCACAAGGTGATCATATACTTCCACATATATAGCACTGAACTGACTGTCCATCCCATCGTGCTACCTGTACTTGTTAAAGTTATATTAATAGACTTACAAAATGACTTGGACTAAAGGAGACCTTAAAGACCATTTATTTCCAGCACACTGCCATAGGCGGAGACACTTCCCATTAGACCAGGTTGCCCAAAGCCCCCTCTAAACTGGCCTCAAATGGCTTCACGGAGGGGGCATCCACAACATGTTGTCTCTGGGCAACCCATTCCAGAACCTCACCAGAAGTGAGTAAAGAATTTCCCTCTAATATCTAATTTAAATCAATCTTCTGTTAGCTTAAAGTCATTATCTCTTGTCCTGTCACTACACTCTTTGTGAAAGCATCTCTCTTTAGCTTTCTTATAGGCCCCTTTAGATACTGGGAGGTCACAGGACAATTCAGTACAGAAGGCATCTATGGAAGTCATCTAGTACAATGTCCTATTCAAAACAGTGTCAACTGAAGTCAGATGAGGCTGTTCATGGCTTTATCCAGTCAGATCTCAAAAAACGTAAAGGACATAGACTGTACAAATCCTCTAAGCAAACTACTGCTCAACTGTTTTTGTGGTAAAGCAGATTTTTCCTTAATTCCAACTTGAGCCTCTCCAGTTTCTGTTGCTTTGTACTCCCAACCTGCTGCAATGTGTAGAGCCTGACCACAACCTCCAGCTAACCTCCTCTTAAGTACTGTCAGGCTGTTAATAGGCAACTGGAAAACCTCTTCTCCAGGCTACAGAATGGCAGTTGCTTCAGTCTCTCCTCACAGCAGGACACATTCCATGATAGACCCTTGCAGTACTCACCACTCACCACTTCTCTCCAAGTAGAGTAAAATTTATTAGCATCTACCCCTCAAAGACCAGCAGTTAGCCATTCATCCCATGTTACTATCCACCTGTCCAGAACACGATATCCTATTTTGGATATAATGTTAATACAGACAGTTTTAAAAGCCTTGCTAAAGTTAAGGTAAATTACACTCATTCTTTCCCTGCCATTATGTATACTCTCAAAATAACAGCAAATATGTAGACACTACATATCTAGTCTGCTAGAAGACATGCGAGGTAGAAGGCTGGAAGGTAGTGATAACAATGAAATTTATTTTACCAATTAGGGGTAACAGGAGGTGATCGAGAAGGAAGGCTTTTGGTCTCCAGATGCTCAACAGATAAAGATCTCCTCATAGATGGGTTCCAAACCATTCCACCTATGACTTTTCTGCAGTACTGGCTGTTTACAGACCTGAAAAGAATTAAAAGTGAAAATCTATATGTTAATTGTATTGCATAGAAAAATTCAGCTAAATAAAATATACTTTTTAAAGTACATTACATAATTCACATTTTAAAGAATCACCTGTGCTTACCCCCTCATTATAAAAGAGCCATTTGCTGTCCCTCACTTGTTGCAGTAAAACTGTTCAGGTCATCCCTACTTCAATACTAATCAAAAACCTGGGTAAAAATAACTTTTTTCTGGAAGTTATTTTTAACTTCATTGTGTCCAAGAAGATAGAAAGGAAAACAGGAAATTTGGCATGCTCTGTTGGCACCAAGCCAAGTGCCTGACAAAACATAATTCAAATACAAGTACAACATTCTAGACGTTTTCTGTTAAAACTTATGAATTGGTAACAAGTCACTATGGCTTAACTGAGCACACAACCACTTTATCTATGTGATGACTCAGCAGATAAAATCTTGTCCTAGTTTCAGCTGGGATGGAATTGTTTTCTTCAGAGCATCTGGTATGATGCTATGTTTTGGTTCTATGAGAAAAATTATGTTAATAACAAACCAATATTTATAGCTGGAGCTGTGTTGTACAGAGTCAAAGTCATTCTCAGGGCTCAAGGAGCTGGGAGAGAACAGGATTAGGACAACTGACTTGAACTGGTGTATGGGAACTGCTGAGTCACGGCCTGAACCTCTGATTAATCACCTGAGGTGAGCCTTGAGTCAGCCAGAGGAGCACAGGTGAAGGCAATTCACCTGTGCTGCCGGAAGGGGTGGAGCCTGGCTCCACCCCTCCTGGACCTATTTAAGAGCTGGCTACCAGAGGGGAAGGATCTCTTCTGGAGATCCCCTCTTTTGGTATCTTCTGGTGAGCTCAACCCAAGGGTAAGCTCTTCCACTTATTCTCTTTTTTGATCCTTGTTTGCTTTGCCTTACTCTCTTGATTATATTGTGATTATAACATCTTGGTTATACAACTGGCCATAGGGATATTTCATACCATATGATATCATGCAGAAGGAGTTTTGAAGAGGGTGGAAGTTTACCTTGCTGTCTTCTGCTTGCTGGGGGATAACAGAATCACTCAGCAAGTGGTGAGGAATTAATTGTGCATTACTTGTTATATACATTCACACATAACTATCTTATATAACTATTACATGGTCGTAACTATTATCCTTTTCCTTATCTCTGTCTTACTAAATAACTATTTCAACTCATGAATTCTACTTTTTTCTTAATTTATTTTTATTCTCTCCTTCATCCCACTGGGAAATGGGAGGAGAGTAAGGGAAAAACAGCATGGTGCTAAGCCACTTGTCAGATTAAACCACAACAGTCATTTTGCAATGCTGAATTCGTCAGTTTATACACTGTTAATTTTTTTTATTATATAAGTCAAGGCCACACACTACAGCAAATTAATAACCTCAATCCAACTCCCAAAGAGGACAAACAATGTAGCAGAGAAAATATACAGCAAGGAATATACTACACAATATTGTTCTATGAGAAGACTCTCAAAAAGCTCCATAAATAGTGAAAAAACTAGCATAGTGACTAGCAATTACCAATCCCTGTGACAAGTCCCACAGTGGGCACCAAAACTGGAATAATACTAAACCAGTACCTTTTGAAACTTATTAAAATTACGTGGGCTATGCAATGCCTGTACATGCATTGTGTATATAAAGATAAGATCTTTTCATCTACTTGCAGTTTTGAAAGAGAGAAAGGTCTCCAGACATAGCGTCCTGGCAAGTGTTAAGAAAGTCGCTTTCTCAATACAAGTTTGTATTGATCCATAAAAGATCTAATCCTCAAAATACACATCTCTAAACACTTAGAAAAGTTCTTTATTGTTCATTCAGCTACTTGTTTTTATTCATTTCAGCTATGATCTAGTTCTATGCCAAAGTACGGAGATCATACTTCAGTGGAAAATGTAACATTTTATCAGTGTTCTTATGCCTGGACAATTATTTGTGCCTTTACTGGCATCATTTATAGGCTATGCCTAGTCCCTTAGGTATGAATTCTGCAGTACTGAAAGAGACATCAAAACATGAAGAGCCAATTGGCAAAATTCTGGAAATAACTGGAAGTATGATAACACAGAATTACAGAATACAATGAGTAAGAAGGGACCTAGCCTAACTCCTGACATCATTCAGAAGTTGAATCTGGGTCCAAGTAGGAAAAAGAGAAATTAAACAAGGAACAATTCAACAGCTAAGGGGAAACACTGCAAAAGTAAAGAAAAGAGAAAGTAAGCACGAAAATATTCTCCCAAAAACCATCAGAAAAAGCAGTTTACTGGTAAGTCTATGGAGATTACAGATAATCAAAGGACTAAAGAATTCTCTGAAGTCTCATATTTTGAGAGGATAACGACATAAGACTTACAGCCCAAATGGAACGGGTACATCCCAACTTCATGTAGCAAAATAACAAGCTCTGAACTACATTTTAGATACCACTGTGAAACTACCAGCTCAATGACCGCAGAAGCCAACAAAGGAAATAAAAGATGAGAAGTGTCATGACAGTGTAATCTTAAATGGTTGGATGGGGAAATTTTTTCATCCCTATGCAACTAATTGAGATCTTTATGCACTTCAGAAATTGCCCTAACATATTAAACAGTGTTTATATAACAGTAAGGAGTAAACAATTCAAAACAAATCTGTTCAGCAAATTCTCTTACTGGATCATTAAACACATAACATTTTAACTTTGTATTGTTGCTACACCTTTTGCTGAAAAAGCAAGTTAAGACGATAACAGTAAAACAGACTCAATAACTTTTTATGAGCATTATATTGTAATGACATCATTGCGCAAAAAAAAGGAAAACAAAGTTAGACAATTTGTCCAATGGTTCACAAAGACTGACAATCACAAGCAGAACTGAGCTCTGCAACTTCAAATTCAGCTGTCGCTGACAAATCCTTCTTTCAGCATTTACAATGGGAAACACACTTTCACACAATACTTACTTTGCTGGATTTCTAGAACCTAGGGTCCAATAATGTGATAATATTTTTTTTTCATGAGGTAGTGACTTCTTTGCCTGAAAAAACGTGTGATGCTCTACACAAGACTTCCACAGATTTTTGCATGCTCTGTAATTTAACATGTTGAAGGCAACAATATGCTCTCTGGATTCATTCTGTAACAGTAAGAAAACGTATGTTTCAACATATACAAGCTGATAAAACAGAGCAAATGAGGTTATAAAGCTCCCATATAAATAACAATGAAATTACTTTTATCCTAAATAAGCAAATCAAATTCAGGAAAACAAAAATTAATCACATAGTAGATTTTAATCTGGAGATGAATGAAACGGCATGGTGACTATATGAAATTCAAATGCCAAAACAAACCTTTTAAAAGTGTAAGCAATATTAAAAATTATTAACAAACTTACCAGTTTCTAATCATTACACTGCTAATTTAATGCAATGTTTAAGTCTATAGTGTCAAACACATTTTATATACAAGTATAACACAAAACAGCTAAACAGATTATTGGATTTCCTGTCAGATTGTGATCTTCCCAAAACTCTTTAACATTGTATTAAGGTTGTAATGTAGAAGGGAAGAATCTATCTTCAAATTCAAACTCTTCATATAAGACTTCACATATATACATATTTTCCTTCAAGAGCTATAGCATACGAAATCATCTGTTTGATATTCTGTGAGAAGATAGCCAAGACTTTAAGTGTTCCACTTGGGGAAAATGAAAGAATCCACGATGGACTAAAACTGCCGCTTTTCGTATCCAATCCTGCTTTCTGGATTACAACATAAAGCCAAAATAATGAGAACAAAAGGAAGCAGAATATGAAGCTTCTGCTGTGCAGATTCTCACTCGCAACTTCAGTGCTCAGTGGAACATAGGTATGACACAACTGCACCACCAAAATTCGTGTCCTGAAGAACTGTAGCACTTGTTGAGCCACTTCAGGTTCCAATCCTCAAGAAAGTTTTGCACAAGATACATCTTGGGTTAGTTACTGAGGTTATCAAACATAAATAACAAAGCAGAACAAAGAGTAAAGCAAAGAAGAGAAAGGTATGTGTCATAAACAAGCTTAACGCCTATCAGAACTCAGCATCTCTGTAGAAAAAGAAAAAAAAGCAAGTGCACAATTTGATTGCTCATCTTTTTCAAGTATTTTTTTTCTGAACTTTGTCATTGCAGCATATAATTAGTCAACAAAGCTCTCTTTCTAGTTCATACTTCTGAGAAAGTAAGGATTTGAGTAGCAAAGCCGATTTATTAAATGATTCAAAGACCTAACAAAACTTCCTACTACAGTCTAGCAATAAATCCCATGGATGACACCTGGACTTCTAGCTGCAGGGTTCTTTTGTGTGTTCACAGCAACAGATCAGTTTAGAAGTACATACAGACAATTCCGGGCAGAATAATCAAGCTAGTTTTCTTGCATTCTTTTTCTTTCTGTGCAACGTTTTAAAAATGTCATGCATCAGAAAACTATGCCACATTCTGCAAAGTACTTGAACTAGTGCTGAATGACTTCATTTAGAGATTCTCTATAGTGGAAACCACAATGAGAATCTCTAGGGGAAGCTAAAAACGACCTGCTCCTTTGGCATCTTTGACATTGCTAGGCATTCAAATGATTGTAATCTTTATATTTCCTGTATCTATTACAAAATGGAAAAAAAAAAAACCAAGTTTTTTGTAGGATTAGTTTGTTCACCCTGTATGGGTATTACAGCCTGAACCAGTGGCTGAACACAAGGTGAAAAGATGTGGCTAACCCAGAGAGCTCAGGTGCAAGGAATGCACCTGAGTGACAGAGAGGGGTCGATCTCCCTCACCTTCATTTAAGGATTAGCAGCCAAGTGAGCAGGATCTCTATTCAGAGATTGTGCCCTTCTTCAGACTCCACCAGCTTTTTGGAAAGAGTAAGCCAGTTTTCTCTGTATCACTTTCTGAAGTAAATCCTAATGAATACCTTTACGAGCATGCTCCTATCCTCATAGAAGGTACTATCATCACCTTCCATTGCAGCACGCTCTCAACGTACTGGAACCAATTCATCTTCATCAGCTCACCACAGTTACTTCTAATTAGCTTATATAAAATAATATGTTCAAGCCCTGTGAAATTTTAACTCAGAAATTCTTGTGAGATAACAAGCATACAGCACTTGAACTTCTAATGAGTAACAGCATTTCTGACCTACTCTCTGTTGGCTGAATACCACTTCATGCATTTTATACTACTCCAGAGAACAATTTAAAGGATATTTCAGATATTTCTGTTGGCCTGGAGCACTGGTCTTTTAATAGCATAAAGGCATAAAAATCTGTTTATCTGAACGTCTCAATTATGTACTGAAAAGTGTAAAAATAAGGACTTAAGTACACCTAATATTTCATTTTTTTAAATTGAAATTTGAAAAAAAAACAATTTGGTCACAATTAAATTTCTGTCAACTGCTGACACAATCTTAAGTACTTTTACATAGGCTGAGAATTTAAATATGGACATACGCTACGATAAGTATCTTAAAGAAATTTTAGAAACATCTGTTCAATTTTTACATTAAGAAAATCTTTTGTTAACTAGGTCTTCTGGCTCACTAACAGGCCATCTTTTAAGTCACACCACAAAATTCTATGTACCATTTCAAAAGCTGAAGAGAATTCTAGTAGGATCCAAAGATTTAGTACTTGCCATCATTCTCAAGGGAAGTTCCGAAAGAATAGCATTCTAGTCATTTTTCAAGAAGTGAGGATTGGAGAAGTGTGCCACCATTAAAGTAATGGGAAGAACTCTCAACAGCTAAAATAAGCGTCTTACTAGTTTAACATAAGGGGAGAACTCTCATCAGCTGTATGCCTATCTCATCACAGAGAATTTGGGCACGTCTACAGCATAGGAGGTAAAAACATACACTAAAATGCAGAAAAGGAACAGTTGTTCTCAAGCATTACATAAGCACACAGGTTCTATTTTGGAAGCTTCAAAATGTTGCCTGTAAATTAGCATAGCTTCTATTCCTATTATAAATCTTATACCCTTCATTAAGTCTAAGTAACGTGGGCTTTTAAAACATCAGACATCCAGTAGCTCATTAGTCTTGCTTTCCAGTACTTCTGCAGCTTTTTAGTAAAAACAGAAATACTGCCTACTTCTTTCAAATAGCAGATCAATAGACTGAAGCAGTGGGATGATAGAAGTGGAGATGAATAACAGAAAGAGCGGGACAAAGTATGTTGATTCTTCAAAACAGTGGCAGAAGGAAAAAAAGGAGCAGGAGAATAAATCAAGGAAACAGAACATATAATAGATGACCACAAATTCACAGCCTTTAAGAAATGATGTAGATTTTAAAGAAAATCTACATATGACATGCAAAATTCTGAAGCGCTTTTGTTGTCATCTTTTATAAAATATTGCCTACTAACACACAGCATCCACTCTGCTTTCTTCACTGTCTTCCTTCCACCTTCCTTACTTACAGCCTTATTAACTTATTTTCCTCTGTACCTCCAAGCAAAAGACCAACACAACATCAGCCACTGGCAGTCACAAACTATTCAAGCAACCCAGCGTTCAAGAAAAATGCAATAGCAGTCCAGCTGCTCCTCATTCCCACAGCAGACTTTCCAATGCAGCATCATTAGAGTACTGCAGGTATGCAGACTGCTGCCCTACGTTTCAAGCAAAGGGGAGATAAAGGACAAGGGATGACTGTATCTAAAGGTTTAACAGTTTATCTGGTCTGTTTTTTCATACCTACTAAGAGTGAAAGGTCTTGTAGCCAGACTCACTTTCTCTACAGTTCTGTAGCTCTAAGCATGACACAGCACGCATTAATGTTATCTCATATAGGCCTAACAGTTATATAAGAGATTGGTAGAACAAATTAAGGACTTTGAAATGTCATCATTTAATGAAAGTTCAAATGATCAAACCTCAAAAATGCTACTCTTTTCAAAGGTGACACTGGTCTCCAGAAAGAGAACTTCAATTTGACAGCAGCAAAGTCTTAAAACCATTACACACTGATGCTGCATTTCTCCAAATTCTATAAAATTAAGCAGATTTAGTAGATTCATTGCTGTGAGGTACTCTACGGGGCGCAGGGAGCAACAAAGAAAGGAGCAGCAGCTAGTAACAAGTAAAACGCTAGGTTATTAAACACTGAAGAAAGGATGAACAGCTGTGTTTCCCTGAAATATACAATGGAAAAGATACCAGAGTTAGAAAGACGTAGTCCAACAGACTGAGGGTGGAAAGACTCCAAGTTGGAAAGGAAACAAGAGTGGGAAATGAGTGAGCATAAAAAAACCACAATAGCAAAGGCAAGTTGATAAAAAACAATTTCAAAAGGAAGTTAACATAACAGAGCATCTACAGGTCCAGCCATCTGTTACCTTAAGTTTAAAAGGCAAAAATTTGAATACAATTGCTTAAGAAGAAAGTGAAGTGACTACTTACATGTTTTTGCCGTTGTTGTATAAAAAACTTTTTCCTTTTAAAGGAAATTTTTAATATGTTCACCCTAAAAGAGAAAGGCAGACCTTGAAACACTAAATAATGTTTGAAGGGAAAATAATAATAATATAAAAATAACATGGTGTGCAGCAAGCGTAAGAGATTACAGTTGTTAAACATTCAGTGAAAAATATGCAATCATCTCCTTTATGTTAAGTGGCAAATAGATGTCAAGAAACTCAAAAAATTTTAGCTAAGGAGGAAAGGTCTTTTGAAAATTAGGGTTCTTCCTCATTTACTCTTTAAATAGCTCACATAGCACTTCTTTCCCACCAAATCTATTCTTGCAGTAAAAACTTGATGACATCCTTTACCAGCTGCACAAATGTTAAATGTGTCAGGTTTGTATAGCTTAAGAATTATATGACAACTGTGACTAAAAGAACAGAATTTAAGACCTTAATGACGTGACAAGATTGGTTGAACAGTATCTAAAATTGCCCAGAAATTTCACAGAGCTTTAAAAGATAATGTACTCCTCTTAACAACAAAAGCATTGTAATCATAGTCAAACTTGACAGATGAAAACTGTAAGAATGAGTGTTAATCTTTTTTTCACATATTATTAACGCTGTAAAAAGATACAACAAACTATGTAGCTGAAATGAATACTTTTCCATACATATGTGGTATGAATAAAGATTTTCTAAGGCTAGGGTTACACTGGAATTGGTGCTTAAGGATATAATCAAAATGAAGTGTTTATCCGTTTTGCTAGATTAAATAAATTTCTAGGTTCCCACACGTTTTCCTACAGATAAACAAGATTTTTCTGAATTCTTAGTTCTTTTCTACAATACTTTTCTTCAGTAATTGAAACCTACATGTTCTGGAAAAAAAATTCACTGTCTGTAATTAGGTGGAACCATATGGATAGGAGAAAGCTATTTCAGGTCTGATCAATGTTTGTGGAAAAAGCCATCTATACCACACAAAAGATTTTCAGAAGGTTGGTACTAAAGGTCTTGAAATATTCTGTTAACTGCTAACATTTACAGCATCTTAGATTTCCAAATACAAAGCATATCAAAGATCATCTCAGTTCTTAACACGGTTTTCACATCACTCAGCAAGTAGAACAGCAGCATATAACCCATTCTCCATTCCTGTGCAGGATGCACTGTCACAGAGCAACTCTCCTTGTTCACAGAGCAGATCATATATGCAAGTTACAAACAATTGAACTGAATGAACAATTCCTACTATTGTATAAAAGGGGTGGAAAACCAAACCTGCACTCTTCCAAAAAAAAATATTTTCCTCTATCAATTACAGAACCACAAATGAACAAGAATTTCATTCATAGTATTCCTAGGCAACCAAGTTGTTGCTCCAGGTACTGGAAAATTTAAAATAATATCCACCTTTTTTGTAAGGAAAATTCTAGAAATATCTGCTCCACTTGACTTGCTGCCTCAAGTGATAATGATCTGTACTGTATATCTGTAAGCTCTGCATTCCCATCTTGCCCACAAGTCATATAAATTTGCAGTAGTACTTACTGAGGTGGGACTCATTACAATCTATCTTAATGTTAGTGCTACTCTGGCTGAAGCAGTACTTTTCTAGTTTCTTTCCTTTCACGTTTCTTTACTTTTGCTTACACTTCAGCGTTTGGAGTTGTTCACATAGTTGCTGTCACTGCTCTTACACTAATGCGGTGCCAGCAGGAATACAAAATACAAATGAGTGACCTCTCGGAGTAAGCATAACATCCTCCAGTTAACAACAAAAAGGTAGCCAGCATCTTAAAACACCAAGACTCTCTCCATCTCTCCCCACTTCTTTTAAAACAATTTTCTGCATGACCACATAACCACCTCATGTCAAATCAAGTCAATAAGTCTCTTTTATTTCATTGTATATACAACATACCTCTCAATTCCACTCATTCTTAAAGCATAACTAAGCCTATTTAATTCAGTGACAAACAACACTTGCTAATCTGACAGTTTTATGTAACATTAACACAAAATCATTTGCAGCACTACGCCTATTAGTCAAGGCAATGTTCATGTACAGCACAAGTCACAGACTAAAGCAAGAAATTAAGGCATTGAAGGATTTAGATTTAACAAGGGTTTGAAGGTGTAACATCCAAAATAGGAGCTGAATGGATTGCGGTTATTCTAACAGGTGCCCCTACCGCTTACCAATCATCTGTCCAGTGAACATGCAGCTTTCATGAAATATCAAAATTCACCATTTATTTTTAAAATGCTCAATAGCTGAAGCTCAGTGACAATGATACATTTTTGGCTTCTGTCTTTCTACCATTCACAAAGGTCAAAGCAGATTCGTCACTCACTGAACCATAGTTACTCATTTCTGAGCACCATGGAGGTTCTGCTGCTAACAGCTGGTATTTTTTGACCCAAGGAAAAATACTTCTTAGATGTAATTCTTACAGTTTGCCCTAAGAAGATTCAGTAGGAAAGCTCCTGTCAAATGTTGTCTATGTAAGATTTAGTTCAGAAGTTTCTTGATTTTAGCTAGCAATGAAGCATATATTCCTTTAGCAATTTCTCTCAAGTTATCAAAGCAAAGAATCCGCATTCAGTGAACAGCATATAATACACTACCTTTGCTGCTGATGTAGAACAGAGACCAGCCTGTATACTTTTGCCTTTAAGATATTTTACCTGCCAAACAAACCTGGAAATGATCACATAATAGTAAAGCACCCCAAGAATAATTTTCTAGAGAATATGAATTTTTGGGTTAAACCCAAAGTTATATTTAAAACTGCCTTGACTTGTGTTGCCTCTGCCCGAGTGCTCAGCTCCTTACAAACTTTGCTTTCATTGAAAATCCTCCCTTTACCAAGGCAGGGCAATCTATTCACTGCCTCTCTGTTTCCAAACACTTTTGGTTCCCTTTGACTACTACCATACAGCATAGTTGTACTGATATCCATTAATGCTGCAGAGCACTTTGGTGTTGGAATGAGTGCTTTGACGGTGTTTGCTGCCACCTTGAGTTTCATCATGTTTATGATGGAGCCTCCCCGGTTCACAGGAAGAGATGACTTACTATAGGCAGTTACATAAAAAGACTAAATAACAATTCCAATTATCTGAATAGGTTTTTGCATTCTCAGGCACAGTGTTTCATGAGGAGCCTCCTTCATGCTTTCAACGCAACCAACATACATTAAAACTACAGATACTGCCAAAATGTATTCCACTTTGACGTCTAAAAAGAAATTGAAAGTATACACTACAAGCGCATACAATACTAGCTAACATACTTACCTGACTATTTGTTTATTTACTTTTTTTAATGGGTAAGGAGGGTTTAGAATGGAAGAAATGGACACAGTTCCTGAATCAATAACTATAACCTACTCTGAAAATACCTAAAGTCATCCCCTACGTAGTGGGGTTTATGCCCTTCATTCCTCGCAAATACAATTTTAAAGAAAGAGTAGGAAAGCTTGAAACAATTACAATAGCAGTTAATTGAAACTACTAGCACCCATAACTGCTGTTTCAGGAGAGAAAGTTACTCAAACTGAAAAAATGTTTTTGTTCCCACCCCAATTCTTTTCTTGTTTTGTTTTGTTTTTGTCAGTTACAGTTTCACGTGCAAAATGTTTTAGCAGCTGTGTTTTATTCCTGAAGAGCAAGCAGGAATAAAAGTACGTAGATTGCTTCAAAAGTAACATCTCCTAACACGATAAAATAGGAGACATTATGGTTGAAGCAGTTCTTGAATTACAGGATGTTGTGCATTCCTCTTGCCTTATGTGCTGTAAAGCACTGTTTCCCTTCTATAAAAAATATATACTATTGGATTTTAAGATGTTGTCACTCTGGTTTTCAGGTGTTACTATTGCCTGTTCATGCCAAAGGTCACTAAAGTTGGCACAATAAGCCTTGCAAAAGATAGAAAATATGCCTGCAGTTGCAAATTTTTAAAATCTGCAGCTGTTTTAAGAAGCTGGCAGATTGACATATGAAAGGATGGAGCTCAGGGCACAAAGATGAGAGATAAAAGTTTTCTATGCTGTAGTGTGCATTAGAGGAGGAAAAAAACCAAGACACTACTGTGGTATATGAAAGCATTATTCACATGCATTTGTGATGGCTACAGTATATTTAAGTTGAAAGAGAAGTCACTGCAATGAAAAGAAAATCCAGAGACTACATAGTACGTTTACCATTCAAATTTAAATGGAAACCTATTTTATTATTTTATCCTAGGAAATACCTATTAGATTATGCTCCTAATGATCTGAGGGAAGAACTTGTGCATTTAAGGAAGATTGTTTATAGGCACTTCTTGCATAATCAAGGTGCAAAAAGTCAGTAAACTCACTGAAATGCATTATCCTGTCATGAACACAAGAACTTAATAGTTTTACTGAAAATTTTCTCCAGAAAAACTGTTACAAATTATGTGAAGAAATTATGTATAACATGATAAAACTGTACTTTCTAATCTAATTACACTTATTTTAAAGAAGAGGGAAACGTTCTTTTCTTTCTAATCCAATCAAAAAAACCTAAGGAATAGCCAAACAACTATATCACTTGCCATTCACTTAACAGGTCTTACTATAATATAAATAAACTACATAAATACTATTCATAATGAGAGCTTCCCTAATTTCTGATGTCATTCACATTAGACATCTTGTATACTCTTCTTCCTATAGAGAATATTTTCTAAAACGCTGTCAGGTATTGTCAGAACCAGAGTACAATGAAAAAGTCTCTTCCCCTATAGACTCTAAATCTTACAAGTTACCATTAGACAGCCTTGTCTGATGACATCTAAAAATTTACGTGTTAGACTATTCCTGTTTCAATAAATCCAATATTTGAAGTAATTCACTTTGCATTTCTATGAAGCAAATATCAGACCATTAGATGTTGAGCTTCCTAGTTATGCTGATTTAAACAGAAAAGCCACCAAACATCTTTACGAACAACAGCAGCACACATCTTTAAAACCACAAGGTACTCCTATTTATACACTGTCACATCTGCGTGAATGGACTCAAACAAGATTTCACATAGTTCAAGTAGTTCAAAAGTCCTTAAGAATTAACAAGTTTCATTTTCACCTCAGCGTAAGGAAATATGTTAATTCATAAAGAACAAAATTATATACTACAAATTTCTTTGAAATAAATGTTAAAGCAGATGAGAATACAATTTGAAAGACCAGATATAATTCTTCAATAATAAACGAATTTACCAGGGATAGAAGCTTGTGCAGATGAGTTTTCTATACACAGCAATTCCACTGGATGCAATACCAATCATGAGATCTAGATTATGGAGATCCTGCAACAGAAAAGTACTGTAAGAGCAGAAGCATAAGTTTGTGCGATTCCTATTAATCTACTTATAAATTCATTTTCAAGTTTTCTATACTTAAAATATAACTCCTGTGGCAAAAAATTCAATCACTTGTTAGGATTTATTATTTTTTTTTCCATCTTTTCTGTGATCCTATCTACTAGGTATTGCTGTCACTAAAACAAGCTGTAATGCTAACCTAACTATATTAGATATTCTTTAAGACACTGAAGTTTCCAGCCTAACCTTACACTAGTTCAGCACTGGTAAATAAGCTGAAATATTCCTCAAGATCAGCCAGTCAAAATTTTCGAAATGCAACAAAATTTGTCTTATTCTAAGCTGACCTCCAAAGAGGTCTTACCAAAGACTGGGCAAGAGGTAGCCACAATTCTGCGTATGCTAAACCAATATGAACATGCATATGAATATTTGATACACAAAACTGAATCAATTGCTAATTAAGAAAGAAACGTGTTAGCTTAACATGCTAAACTGGAAAGACGCATACATAATTTACAATAGCTTTATGATTACTGAGACAGTAGAGAAAAAATAAAAGCTTAAAAATAAAACAAAAATTTGAGGTTTACAAGAAAAAAAGAGGAAAGCTGAATGCTCAATTTGAGGTGAAACCCAACCTGATGTTACAAAAATTACAAATCCTGGCTTACATTTTCTCTGTGATGGACCTGTGATAGTACATCATAGACAAGTTTCTAAACAGAGCAGAATATGCGCATATATCTACACAAGCATAGAACCCACTAGTTAAAATATCAGGTCTGACTCAAATGTAGCTTCAGATTACTTTGCAAAGGATGGCCACAGGTTCTATTAGAGCCTCCAGTAGCTTAGCTGCTCCTCTAGATGGTACTCTGTGCTCACTGAAATACACGTAATTCTCATATATCCAATCCCTATTTCTTCATATTAGTAAGATACAGAAGAATAGACCATGTACCACATGAACTAAAAACAGTGAAAAGTCTACAGCAAATCCTTTAAAAATGGTTGAATAAAACTGTGATACAGGTATATGACTGAATTAAGCTGAATCCAATTTGCAACAGTTTACAAACCTGTGAAATATCATAGTACTTCACAAAGAATGTGTATAACCTAAATATTTAATAAATAATACATCAGCACTAAAAATTGACAAGAGAGATGTCATTTCCATTTCTAAGAGTTTAATAAACAAAAATTATATAGGTAGCTGTACAAACAAGCTTAATCTAAGAATAGTGCAGAATTCACTGAAATGATGAACAATTCCCTGCAGCAGCAGGGCTACCTGCTGCCCCACTTGTCCAAAGGCAGCTGCTACAGGAGGTGGTTGAACCTCCATCTGAAGATGCTCCTGGCTTGCCACAGTTTATGGCAGCATAATACAGAAATCCAGAACTTGCACCTCTTTACTGTAATGTGCTGGGAAAAAAACTGAAGAGTTTTGGCAAGGGAATACATCTAATTAACTGCTTTTGTCCTGATACCACCTACCTAACACAGAGCAGAAGCCTGTGTTACTGGAACTTGAAGCTTACTCCAAGTTCCTGCTTTAAAGAAAAAATAATATTAAAAAAAATAATAAATCAATAGTCTGAAGGAAAAACAGCTTAGGAGAAAAAAAAAAAAAAAAAAAAAAAAAAAAAAAAGCCTAAATAATTTACCAGAAAAAGAACCGTAGAATCATAGAAAATTCCAAGTTGGAAGGGGCCCATAAGAATCATCGAGTCCAATTACTGGCTCCACACTGGACCACCCAAAATTCAAAAACCCTATGTCTGAGAGCATTGTCCAAATGCTCCTTGAATTGCATCAGCTGGGGGCCATGCCCACTGCCCTGGGGAGCCTGCTCCAGTGCCTGACCACACTCTGATGGAGATTCTTTTCCTGATGTCCTGAGAATTAGCTAAACACTTGATGGGGATTACAGAATCACAGAATCACAAGGTTGGAAACGACCTGCAAGATCATCCAGTCCAACCACCCTCCCATTCCTATCAGTGCCACAAGCTACTAAACCATCTCTCGTAGCTCCTCATCCAGGCGCCTCTTGAACACTGCCAGGGATGGCAACTCCACCACCTCCCTGGGCAGCCATTCCAGTGCCTGACCACCCTCTGAGAGAAAAAGTTTCTCCTAATATCCAACCTAAACCTCCTCTGGTATAACTTCTTGCCATTTCCTCGGGTCCTACTATTTGCCTGGGAGAAGAGGCCAGACCCTTTTGCACCACAACCTCCCTTCAGGAAGTTGTAGAGTGCAATGAGGTCTCCCCTGAGCCTCCTCTTCTCCAGACATTAAGTATGCCAAAGCACTCTATTTTTTCTAGAAGCTGTGCCAAAACAAACTTCATATTCTGCCTCTACCTCAGTCCAAATACCTAATCTTCCTTGCTTATTCACTTAAGGAATTCTTCTGTATTAAACAAGTAATCTGAAAACAAGATCTTGGACCAGTGTAAAGAAATAGGGTCTCACAAAAGAAAGATGAGGTAGATGGGCACTTCCCTTTCAAAGCATCTGTGCTACTAAACTGCGCTGAGAACTGTCCCGCATATACTTCTTTTTCCTTCTTCCTTTATAGAGATAAGCACACGAAACAAACAAAAAACCCACAAACAAGGTAAAAAATGATCATGTCAGTGATCTTGTTAGTTAAATATTCATTGATTTTTAATTTCAAATGCAATCACCAATAAGACTTTTGTAGACATGGAAATAGCATTGATTCTGCAGGTATCCCTCCAGTTTCTATAACTTCCCCTCCAGAATAGAAACAGGTTAATATCAGAACAATTTTTCATCAGATCAGGTAGTGTTCTAAAGTAAAAAGAAGATATAGTACAGAATTCAAGAAACCTTGATATAGTTTTGAGGCATTAAATTTACTCCTGAGTTTCTTAGTATCAGGTCATTTTTGAATATAACTGAACTCTGTTTAAGACACTACTCAAAGTGTCCTGTTTGGTTGTTAGAAGGAAGCACACACTTAAGTTCTGTAGAATGTTTGACTTCACGTAATAGAACACTAAGATTAAGGAAGCTAGGCATTCATCTGATGTTTCACATCTTCATCATAGAATAGCCTGGGTTGTAAAGGACCACAATGATCATCTAATTTCAACCTCCCTGCTATGTGCAGAGTCGCCAGCCACTAGAGACATCATCCAAAAGCATCCCTCTCTGGACCACCAGTACAAGAGGATCAGTTTCTTCTGTCTATTGGCATACAGGCCAATACAGTTGTTACCCACTTTCTCTGCCACATAGAATATTTAAGACTAAGATTATTTTATCCACGAGGAAAGCTGAATTACAAGGATTCACAGAGGAAAACCTTTCAAAACGTCAGTTTTGTAACTAGCCTCTGCTAACACCTGTTCAAAGCACTGGGATTTGGCAAGTCACAAAGGATGATTTAAGAACAGAATTAAGCAAGGAAGGCTATGAAGAGCTATGCCAAATACCCCTGTCAAAGCTGGGGTTTCATGCAATAATCTCAGTAAAGATGTGGTGAGGGGAGATATGTAACCTTCACTGCAGACTTCAAAACCAGAGACCATTTCAGCAGACTTGTTCAAACTTCAGAAAAGTATTGTTTACAACTGACATGAACTACCAGATGAGACCAAATGATGAATACTCTTCTGTAGGACTGATGCTGCAGCACAGGCTTACAACTTAGCAAATGACAGAGTACCTAGCAGGACAGAACACCAGGAATGTCCACTCTGATGAAACCCAGTACTATTACTTTTCTCATAGGCTTTGAAAAATAAATGAATTGCAACAAAGGTATTAATTCAGATGGAAATAGTAGCAAAACAATATGCATCTTAGCTGCCTGGAATAGAGACGCTTTGACTCAAATGCGTACTCTATTTGATTCAGATCATACAAAAAATACTGTTTGGTGTCATCTAGGGTAGGTGACCATGACTAGTAGTCAGCCATCCTGTGCCATTAGATACAAAAGAATGCACTGAAAATAAGAAATATACTGTTTAAGCAGTATTTCCAGAGAACGATACTATTCTGAACTGAAATCTTACTTGGCTGAAAAATGTCTCAGTCCGCTCTGAACTGTCCTTCCTATTTGACACTGATCTCTACTAACATCCTGTGTATATTTTAATAGCCTACAATTCAAAAAGTTTATAGGAAATTTAAATAATTTTAGAAACTGCATCCCATGAATTCTAAGAGAATAGAATGTTTGTCTCATCATAAAAGTCTGGAATTTAAGATCTCTTATCAAAACAGTAAGCAACCAAAAAAGTTAAAAGGCACAGACTGATGAACTAAAGGCATACAGGGAAATCTGAGGTGTGATGGGTAAGGGGCTCTTCAGCAAAGCACAAATTTCACAGAGATAACAGAATGGACAGTGAATCCAGACCAAGCCAGATTTAAGATACTCATTTAACATATAAGGGTAAATTTTTACATTGACAAATCACAGGGTCATAGCATGCATGAACAAATTTCTGGTATCACTTACCCACAACCTCCGCATTTAAAACAATGTATCTTAACAGTTATCAAGTAAAACTGGCCTCTCCTAATTCCCCTATCAGATGTTATGAGCATAGTTTTCATATTTTAATCCCTTCAGTCTTTTCCTTCCCTTTCTATTCCCACGTTCCCTTAAAAATGGCCACTACTGTTTTTTAAAATAATTTTTCCATGAGTATGAATGTAATTACAGTAGCTTTATACGTGAGTAGTTTAGGGATCTTTATTAATTCAATGCACTCATTCATTTGTGATAGCATACATAAAAAAAAGACCAAATTTTACTGAGGAAAGAAAATGATCCTATCCACTGCACATGGTTGCAAAAGATCTTGAAGACCATTTAGCCCAGCCATTCATTCCCCACCGATATTTCCCCACTAAACCACATCTTGTAGTGCTACATCTAAATGCTTCTTGAACACCTCCAGGGACCGTGACTCCACCACCTTCTGGGCAGCCTGCGCCACTGCCTCACCACTCTTTCTGAAAGACATTTTTCCTGATATCCAACCTGAACATCCCCCAGTGAAACTAATGATATTTTCATTAAAATCCTCAATATCAGCATTATCAATAAATCTCAATGAATGTTAGTAAAAACAGCAGTCATCTTCATTAAGGAGCTCAACCTTCTGCATTGCACTTCACTAGGTTTTCCTGCTGCAAGCTATATGCCAAAATAGTTCACTAATCTATAAGAGCACAAATTACCATTTCTGCACCAGGATGCAAGAAAAAGAAGTATTGGCAATTCAGACATTGTAATTAAACAATGAAATGCCAGTAGACAATGAAATGCTAGGATATATTTCTTATCAATGAATACACTGTGTCTAAAGGGTTTCAAATACATCCCTAGTGGTTATCTACCACTTAGATTCAGCCTATAGTCAGAGGATACGGAAATAAAAAAATGGGTCAATATTTTTAATGCTGTGTAAAGAAAATGAATGCTGCTTATATTAAGACATTCATAAACTTTAGTAAATTTCTTAAGTGAAATGTACTGCAGCATTAGACTATTATTAAGATGCATTGTAACTCCTTTGAGATTAATCTAATTTTTTTTATTTATTGTAATTCCAGAATCTAAGCTACTCGGAACATTTGAAAAAATACCAAATTCAAAAGTTATGCATGGTAAAGTCAAGAATAAAATTCTACTGTTTTTATTGCTGTATATATCTACAAGAATGTGTATACAACATTTTCCAAGTGAAATACTGCAATGTAAACATACTCTACCACTGTGCAATTCCACTCCATAGAATTCAAGCGTCCGTGCAATATTTATGTAGCAGGACTCTGCTTCAGATTGCTTGAGGCCACTGAAAGAGGGCAAAAAAAAAAAAAAAAAAAATATTTTAACCATAGAAAAAAAAAAAAAAATAAAAACAAAATTTTTTTCAAAACCAAAAAAAAAAAAAAAAAAAAAAAAAAGAAAAAAGAGTCTACTATCCAACATCTGTGAAAAACTTCATTAAAGAGTTCCACAAAGTACTTTATTTAGTAAGGACTTCCTAAGAGACTCTCAAAATTGCCCAAGTCATAAAACAGTGTCATTGCCTCAGACATTCAGCACTTTTCAGAAAAATCTTAGCTGAAAATTCTTAGCTGTTTTGTTTAAAGGAATAAGGAAACAAGGCCTCTATAATGGCTTCTTTTATAACAAGAACCTGTATCTACAGCCATTATATATTGTTTACTATCTCAGAAGGAAGTTGTTAAGAAGAAACATTAGAAGCAGGAAACAAAAGTAAAAAAGTAAGTTTACAAAAGTAAAGGGAAAGGAGGGAAGAATATTAAATGTTAGTATTAAATAAGTTAATGTTACAAAACCCAACAAGCTAAATTTACAATCAATAAACAAAATGCTATTTTTCCCCCTGCTGTTAGGTGTGAAATGTGGTGCCAGACTTGCAAGGATTCTATCTTCTACTTTTTAAAAAACTTTTTAAAAAACTTTTTAGACTCCGACAGACACCTGCTTTCAAAAAGAACTCAAAAGTCCTCACACATCAAATTAACTTTAGAACTTCACAGAACTTCTACATGGATCTATTAGGAGCTCTAATACACAAAAAATCAAAAAGTAATCCCTACATAGTTCGCTCTCCCCTGCAGCCTACTAATTATTCACCTGAAAGGATTGCAGCCTAAAGAATATCCCATTAAGCATGACAAAAAGGTATTAGCTTCCAACAAATTGTATGGCCATGATTTTATTATCTGAGAACTGATTAGACAACAGAATACAAAACCTAATACTACTCTAATACTAACATTGCTCTAATACAAAATCTGCTGTGGGCTACTGACATCATGTTGTGCCAGCAATAATCCTGGTCTTGCAGCACAGACCAGTGAATCAGGCACTACAGCATATTAGAGAAACTGTTAGAACAAAGACCAAACAATTACTATCTACCCATGTTTAAGAAGAAAAGCCTACAGATACTATTGTCTCATGGCTACTACAAACGCAGGAGAAAACAAGAAAAAATGCCCATTAAATTATGTTAATTAAATGTGATTTAAACTATCAACCTGTAAGAAAAACACATAACATTATGTTACGTTAGGACACTAGATAGACAGACATTTCATATAAAGCAGTAATTCTAACTTTTAAAGGAGTAATTGCCTTGAAAGTCAGCCACTTCAAGATACCACCTTCTAAATTCCAAACCATACTAATCTTCCCTAGAACTGCCATTCTAACAACTATCAATCTTCATGAAAGCAATTAGAAAGACGAAGTTATCTTGAGTAATAAAGCCATTGTCAGCAGTATGACTTGAGAATGTCACAATATTGGAATAAGGACTGAAGGGGAAACAAAAAGCTGTTTGCAGATAAAGTCCTTACCCAGATCTACATCTACAGTGACTACCATAACCTTGATTTAAAAAAAAAAAAAAAATAAGTTGACATCATGTCCTTCAGTTTACCAGAAAGGTTGAGGATGGAAAAACAAACATACAAAATGACAATTTGATAATGAAACAGGATGTTTCCTTTCTGTATATTTTCTTTTTGTTAATTTTTTAGCAAGAATTTTGCTTAGGAAGATAAGAAAAGCCTGACAACTAACAAGAAGGAACGCCTACAAATTTTAATTCTCAATTTGCTTATATAATCTACTTCAGATTAAATATGTCTCATTTAGGCCACTAAGAAGTGTCTCAAGACAGACTTAAGAATTTTTTGTTTGTTTGTTTGACCCCCTACTCATCTGATAGAGGGGAAGGTAACACTACAGGTCCCTGGTGGTGGGCAGTTACTGAGCAAAATAGATAGGCAAGAGAAAAGAATGTCTATATAGATTTAGAGATGAACACAGAAGGAAAATATCTGAAGGCTTTACTAGTTTGAAAGGATAGCAGTTGCTTTCTCAGCACCTACATTCTGCTGAACAGTACCTTAAGTATGTCTATAGAACTTCCTTCTAAGTTTTGGCAAAAGAATATGACATCCAGTTAAAAATATTGCATTGGAGCTAGAGCAAACATGATGCAATGCGTCTTCTCAAATCTATATTGCATTTCAGTAATTACAATCATTCATTTTTTCCCCATGATAGTTGAAGAATGAAAAAGGACAGATTTTCACAGGGCTGGGTTTGAAATCTTAAGAATAGTTTAAGAAGTTATAATAATTTTCAGATGTTACACAGGACGTATGCCAAATACTACTAATTCTCTTCAGATCTCATTTCAAACATCACTCTCCTCAAACAGTAAGATAAATTCACCCTTTCGCACTTCTCTCTTAGAAGGTGCAGTGAATACCACAATCATTCTTGTCAAATACATTGCTGGCACTGAGCTCATGAAAACAATGTCTCAGACAGCAGTATTCACTATATTTGCCAAGAAGGATGCAAGGAATACTGCCAGAATACACAATAACCGGTCTCCCTCTCCCTGAACTCCAAAATAAATATGCCTAAAGACTTAAGCATCAAAAAATGTTGTAAATGAATGAAGAATTATTTTTCCTAGTACAGTCTATTCAAGTATCGTTATTCATAACTTTTATTACATGACCTATGTGAAGAGAGTGCTTGCAATATAGCATTTAAACTTCAAGTCTACTAAAACAGCTACCAATGGCCTTAATCTAGCAAAACTGTTCAAAGAAAGCATCAGTTTCACTGAAAGAATCCAGAAAATAAAGTGCTTTCCAACAGACTTCACCTGTTCACACAGAGTTTTGTGCAGACTTCTAGTCTGTCCTCTGCAGGATATACTCATATCTTTGGCTATGATAACAGTAAAGCCATGACTTCAGCATACCCACTCCAAGACTATCCAGAGTCTTCCCTAAGTGGCTTGCTGGACAAATTCCTCCTAAAAATGACTGAATTTATTCATGCCTGTCTACAAGTTCCTTGCCAAAGACATCTGAGCCTTCTGGAAACTTCTGGAATCAGATTGTGAAGGAGCAGAGGCCTTGGATGCTGCATTCCTGAACTTGAACATCTAGAAAAGCAGACCAGATTATTACCTATGCTAAAGGAAAAGTAGCTGTGTGAGTTCAGTAGTTATCTCTGTTTTACCCCCATAACTAACAAAACAGCATGCATGTTCTGGACTGCGCTAAGCGGCCACACATGAAGTTCTGAACTACTCACTACATCCATCAGCAGTAAAGAAAAAAAGAGGGAGAGGTCGGGGTACTGAAATACGGCAAAGAAAAAAATTTAAGGAATATTAAGGGGTGAAGAAAATGGAGATATTTTAAGGTAATACCACTAATTCTAAATATTCAGTCTTACACGGCACAAATTAGTGAGATTAGCAAGAGTAATCAGCAGTAGACTTCAACTGGAATAACCAATTACAATCACACTCAGGAGAGGAGAGTGTTATCTGTTATCAAGGCTTGGCTCCCTTATGCACCACTCCTTTCACTGACAGACAAAAAAATCTTTAGGATTTCAGAAATGTTCAATGACCCTTGATCCAAAAAAATCACAAGTATCTTGTACAGTGCTCTAGAAGGTTGCCATTAACAATGTACTGTGCTAACTATTCTACTCCTCGCGATAGAAATTTATTTATAAAGTTTCAACACACCTATATGCTGAAAGCAAGTATTTCAATTAATATACATTATATGAAATATAACTAACTTGAAAAGAAGTGCAAAAGGAAGATTTTTTTAAAGAGCTTATAAGGAAAGAGGAAACTAAAAATTAATGTTACCTGTGTTGTTCATGTAGTGCTTCTACTTTGGTAAGAAAATCTTTGTTCTGTTCTGGTATAAAGTTGTAATTGGACAGATATCCTGAATGATGTATTGAAGCATCATAGTCTCCAAGTTGTGCTGTTGGAAAACAAGAAACACAAAGCTTTCATAGTTAATTATCACTTGCAAGAAATCCCTTCTCTTAATTAATAAAACAAAATATTCACACATAAGGAGAAATGCAAGAATTATGCATTATTTTTCTACAGGCAAGCAGTACTGAACACAGTTAACTGCATTAAAACTGTGAAGAACTTCTCAAAATATGCTTACCCTAACTATAGTCTCAGGTACTTAAAGAAATCAGTACTTCACTTAAAGCCACAGTTTTGCAACCCCAGTCTGTAACACCACCACACAGTACGTGACACAGACGAGTAGTACTGAAACATTAAATGGAAGCAAAATGCTCCAGAAAGACAAATGAAATCAATTTGATGTATCTTTACATGATCACAACAGATAGAAGACTTTAATTAGATCTGTCACTTAAAGACCAACTACTCTGTACACTGTAAAACTGTTTTAACTAGAACTACTGGAACTGCCCTAAGAATTCAAATGTTAATTGCCCTACTGAACATGAGGCATAATGTAGCATAAGAAATAACTCCTAATTTACACAGAATAGTAACAACTTATCAAAATTAAATATATGCTTATAGATACATAAACTAAAAACATCCCTTAAAACTTTATCGCTTAATTAATGATATAAAATAGTATATACTTTCAGTCACTAGATAAAGTGAATTCTTAAACAGAGTTGGTGGGATATATGAAAACACAGAAGTACAAACGATCACAGATCTACAGCCCCAGTCCACACAAATATTATTTAAGAACACACCAGCATAAACTTACGTGCTAGAATAGATAGACATTTACTCTTGTTACGAAGATGCAAGGTTTGCAGCAGGAAGGTGGCTGACTCAACCTGACAGATCTACCCAGCTTCAATTTAGCAAACAAATTAAAACCTTTATTTCATATTAACTTTGGTACCTTTATGAAATACTTTTAAGACATTAAACCTAAAATTATGGGATGTTTAAGCAAATCACTAGAACTTGTACAGTTCTCCTGTTTTGCTTGAGAGCATGAAGTTGTTTTGTTTTGTTTTGTTTTTTGTTTTTTGTTTTTAATATGCAATAAACCATAAAGATTCCCAAAATGTTTCTGTATGGTGTGTAAATTAGCACAGGATAAGTATTTGTGTTTGCAATCTATACTGCAGCATGGAAAACTGCAACTAAACCATGAAGTTAAAGAACCTTTAGGAATCATTCTGTTACCATTATTTAGTAGAAGAGAGACTCAAATGATTTAGACTAGAGCAAAAGTAAAAATATAAAATGGTGTACTTCAGAAATAACTTACAGGCACAATAACTATGGTGTATTTGTAATGCAGGCTCTAACTGGTATTTGCTGCTTGTATATCCAAAGAGCATGTCATGTACAGCCTAGGAATGTGAATCACTATGGTACAAAACAGTTTCTTAACAAATGTAGTCAGAAGCTAATACAGTTGCATACATAACTGTCAAGATCAAGTGAAGTATTTAAATAGAAAAAGAATGTAGAATGATGAACAATGAGTAATTTAGTTTTGCATACCAACGTTCCTGCAATGCTTTCAATTTTTTTTCTTCTTCTTTCAGAGGGTAGTCTGACTTCTAAATTAGTGACAAAGCAAGTGTCAAGAGACTAAATATTATTTCAGATTTAATATTTGAATATGTATTATTAGAACTAAAACACACTTGAATACTGCTGTCAAACAATGCATCTTTGAAGAAAACAAAATGAAGCCAAAACAAAACAAACCAGAATATTCAGAAGTGTATATACTTCTGAAGCAGATTATTTATTTATTTTTAGGAATATTAGCATATTAACAGAACACCAGGTTTCCATCAAGAACAAGGCTATGACTATGGAACAACTGAACATTTTGTGCAAAGTAGACATTTAGTAGAAGTGGAGAAAGAAATCTGCAGATGAGAGTAGTTGATTGAAGACTTTCCTCAAGTGATCTTTTCTGTGAAACATAGCATACGTTTCTTCATATCGTTCTGGTGAAAGAGTTCTGTTGCAGTAAGTCTGAATCATATTTTTGTCAAGAGGAAGAGACCAGATTACCAGGAATAAGAGAATATAATTGCCCACTTGAATTCATTCGTATTAGGCAATTCTTTTTTTTCATTCGTTATGAGACGAGTTCTTCTTGCTCGCCTTCTATGTAAGGACTTTGCTCTGGCCTCTTTCCCACTTCTAGCTAACTAAGGTCATGCCAATCCAGGGAGCAGCTCAGAGTGCTACTTGCTTCTTCTTCAGTTCCCCAGATAACACTTGACTGTCACAGTGAAAGAGAAACTATAAATGCTGATTAGCAGACACTTTGAAAGGGTAATGGTCTTGTGCAGGTTTCTACTTATTCAAAAAGAAAAAATATTAGGGTGTGTCAGGACCACAGCAAAATCCATAAGGTTTCCACTTCTTTACTGGATTTTTGCAGCAGAGACTGAGGGAAGAGTATATTGAGATATTTTAAAAGTTTCCCCTGACATAGCTTCTGTTCTGATCACCTAGGTCAGCAGCAAATATAGACTTAAGGGGTATAAAGTTGCAGTTAAAAAAAAAAAAAAGTGGGGGGTGTTTCCTTCACCTTTTTAAACACATTTCCCCATTCTAACTATCTATTGCTCTTTAAATCATTATAACTTTATGTATAAAAATATATATTATATATATTATATTATATATATTATATTATATATATTTTATATATATATTATTTATAACATTATAGCAAGGAAACTGAACCAAGAAGGAATAAAAAAAAACAGGTATTTTCATGTCAGTTTCCTGTATTTTACAGTTTGGTATTTAATATGACTATCTTTAAAGAAGGGAACATGATAGAACCATTCACACAGAAGGCAACACTCAATGTAAAAAGGCATATAACTCAGTAAAAGGATGTTGTAATAGCCAAGGAACCATGCAATAATTTCCTTGGTTGAAGTCCCAATTCAGTACTGTATGAATTTAAGAATGTTTCAAAAAAACAACCAAAAGATCTTGAGCTCATACGTGTTGACACAGGATATGATCTGTCTATGCCCTACCATAGACTAAATAAATCATGTTTTTTTCAGATTTCTTACAAAGAATTTGCTCAGAACAATGTGGGAGGCTGTATGTTTTTGTCTCTTTTTCCTGACAGAAGAAAAACTTCTGTGCAGGAAGGCATCAAAGGAATGAAAGGCCAAGCTCAAGTGAGGGTAAAAAAATAAAATTAAAAAAAATTGGACATTTTGGTAGAATTCTGATGCAGAAGATGAGAAGACCAGAAAATGAGAAAAGATGACAGGCAACAGACAAATCTGAACACTAGCAACTGAAAACTGAAGTGGAAAGGCCCTGAGCAACCTGATCTGACTTTGAAGAAGCTTCTTCCAAGCTGAATTTTTCTGTGGCTATACTTGACATGAAAACGATGACATGAAAACTGCTGCTATGTGACCAAGATACTACTTGCTTGTCTCCAGTTTTAGAAACGGCTGTTGAACGCTAACAGCATCAAAATGTTATCTGTTAAATCTGGTCTGGTTCTTTATTTCCACAAAGATGTCTGGTAGAACCACAAAGTAAAATTCTAAGGAGATCAGCTGTTAGTTTTATGTAACTTAAAGAGAAAATAGAAAATCATCACTGTTTATGTGAAAAACCTCACAGAGGTGCAGAAGACAAGTTTGTTCTGAATTCTGGAAGTTTTCTTTTAATGTCTATGTACAAAGCAATAGCACCAGAACCAGTTTTTGCATATAGGTGTTCTAAACAAATACAAACAAATAGAAACATCGGAAGGCTAGTGTATGAACGCTTCATTTACTAAGCATGATGTGGAATCAGTTGGATATTACAGAGAATGTGGTTCAAAAGAATCCTCAGAGAACTTAGTGCCTGAAGGTTTAGTATCAACTTTCTGAAGACCTGAAAAATACGTATACCTGAAAAAGATCAATTAGTTTCACAATGAATTTGTAACTTTTTGCAGCGTTGAACATTTTGCTTGACATTAATAAAACAAGTGAACTGAATTGCCTGGTCTTCGAAGAAGACAATAACATGAGCAGCTCATGTTGCCAGGGAATGGAAAATTACCAAATGATGTGACAAGTTCAGGGTATAAAATTATATAGTTCCTCATGATGTTGTAGGAATAAAATGAATGGAAGTTTAAGTAAAAAAGGTTAAATTAGTTAACTATTTACCAAGGAGTAAAAGTCATCAGGTGAGAAAATGACAATCCAAGATTAAAATATAGTTAAAGTTGCATAACTGGTTTACGTATGAGGATCTCAATAATGAGTGCCGTGCAAAGATAAAACATAGTATTCAAAGTTGATTCTAAATTTATCTTCATATAAGCACTGAAATACAGTTCAAGTACTGCTAGTTACTGTCGAGAAATAGTGAACGCAAGATATTCCATCAAGAAAATATTTCTGGAATCAGGAAAAAAATCTACTACAGCAGAGCATGATTTTGAAGAAACATACAAATGTAGACTCTCTTTAGAGAGAGACTAAAATGACACTAAATGAAGCACCAAAATAAGTAAAATCAATGTAGATGTAGAGATTAAAATACAACTAGCTATCACATGAATAAAACCATTTATTTTGATGATGCACAATGAAGTGAGAGATTACAGCACTGTACTTCATTGTTTTAAAGTGTTATAGATTCAAACAAATATTTACAGAATGATGAAATGATAATGGACAAACAACAATTGGATTTATGATCTCCTATGTATTGCTTATCACAACCGAAAAATGAAATTAAGGGACAACAGCCCCAAACAGCTGCAGAACTGCTGTATACAAGCGTTCAGAATCATCTTTGCAGAGCAGTTCTATGAGCTGCCAGCAGGCTCAAGGTCAGTAAGGTAGACCACAGTGAACCGTGTGGAAGAAAACACAAATATGTTAATTCACCTATTTAAGCAGATTCCGGTATCTTCACCACCACCAATAACATACTGGTACTGTTAATTACAAGTGTTAGACATGATCAAATGCATCTCTGATTAAACAGAATTACAACACACTTCAGGAGGACAGACAGGCCACGTACACAATCCTTACACTACCTCACACATGGAAAATAATTTAATTTAATAACTAATTTAAATTTAATTTAATAACTTAAATAATTATAATTAAAATAATAAAATTATAAATAATTTAATAATTTAAATTTAATTAATAACTAATTTAAATTTAAATTTAATTTAATATCTCCTCATACATGGAAAATAATTTTAAATACTGGAAATTCAGATCAAAGTTGTCTGTATTTATCAAATCTGACTGTGGTTCCAAAGGATAAGGGCTACCAGTACTCAGTAGAGTACTAGGATAGTAGTCAGAACTTCAACCTTTGAGTAAATGTCAGCCTCCATGATGCCCTTCTGAACATTATTTCCCTTCAAAGAAGAATGGAAAAGCACCATGCCTCATGATACAAAAGGAAAAAAGAATCTCAAAACACTAGCTGCAAAGAGGCAAGTCTGCAAATTAGGAAACCTAAGGTTTTGGTGAATTTTCTATTTTCAAAACATATTAATAAATTAAAAGCCTCATTGTACACCTTGGTTAGAAGAATCATGCAAAAAAGAAAAAAAAAGCAGATGGAGAAAAACTCCATAGTGCAACTCTAACTTCAGAGGTGCCATTAATTTCATGAGCGTGATGTTCCCCTAAATCTTCCAGTCTCTCTCCTCTGATACAGATGGAAATTCAGCCTTGTGCAACTTCTGCTGGAGCTCCCCAAACTGGAATAAACTCTTACCCCTAATTCCTGAAGAACTGGCATATTAAACTCACCTTTTCTAAAATCCTCACCTTCTTTTTCTTCAAAGAACCTTTCAATCACAAACAAACCATCAACCCCTTCCTGAGTAAATTGCTAAAAATAAGACAGCAGTGTGCTAGAAATCTCCTGTTTCAGAGACTACTTTCTTTTAAGTGAATATGCCTTTATTGAATGCTTCATTATTTGCTGAAGCAAACAGTAAAGGTAGGTATCATACAAACATACAACAGCTAGGATAAAAAAAAGGGATTTTACTTTTAAACTGGTAATACACAAATAGGAGTATGAGGCAAGTAGCTGAATGGGAAATTCCAGAGTCCACCAGCAAAGAGAAAGATTAAAACACAACTTTCACAATCTTCACTGACCTTCATTCTGCTTTAGTAAAATTAACTGCACTAGAAAATATCCAAAGCACTGAAAGGGGAGCTCTTATAAAACTGAAGGGAAACTGGAATTACTTTGGCATTTTAGGTACACTACCCATAACATATTTTGAAGACCTTGGTAACCCTGAGCTTGCCATAAATATTTGCATTCTTCAACGCACCTTTTCACTTTCTTGCTTCAGCACAATTGTGTTGCCAATGCTTCACTAACCATCTTAACAGTTTTGAGAGTTTTAGCGTTCCAGTGCCTTACCACATCCCAGAGATGCAGAAGTGTGCGTGCATTTTCTTTTGCAAGAAAACTGGAATGCTAGCCTTTCATAGAAAACGTTCTGGTTTCAAACTCTCTCATTAAGTGGGAATGTGTTTAAAGGTTCATTTAATAAAAAGGTACTGAATACGATAAACATAACATGGAATTTTTTGCAACTACTTGGGATTTTCATAGATACCAAGAGCTCAACACTCTGTACTTTCTTTTCTGAAAACTGCATTCAATTTTTTTAGATTCATGACCTCTTATAATTTCTGGACATTGCTTATTTTGAAGTAATTGTACAACTATTCTACTATGTTTGCCCCATCCATCCTTTTTTTTTTGTAATGCAAAATTCACTGATCCTTCAAACTCTATTTTGATATTTATTTATTTTTGCTATACTAAGAAAGGTCTTTCTTCAGCTGTTTTTAAATTATCCATCTAGGATTCCTTTAAGGCACAGGATTCAGCTCCATTTTGTTTCTCCTACAGAAGATATTTTTCTGCTATCACCCTTAAAACATCTTTCCACTGGTAGCAGACAGATGAGAAGGATGGAAATAATAGTAAGCAGAATCACTGCTGAGAGTTTTCCCATATCTAACAAATCAGTATTTCCCAAAAAAAAATTATGTAAGAACATGCATTTCTTAATCATAATAGTTTATTTATTCCCCCCTTAACTGTTCTCTAGGTGATTTCTTATTTCCCTGGAAGGCAATCTTGCAGTTACTGTAACATGCACTAAGCTTTACGATTTTGAAGAAGAAAAATAAAAGACAACATTGGGAACAGTACACGTTCTACAAACACACACAAATAAGAACACCATTAATTTTTTTTTTTTTTTTTTTTGGACAGACTCAAAAAGTAGGCTTTTTCTATGTAAAACATCTGGAGGCTGTAACTTTCCCTTACCTTCCAAAGCATCACTTGTAGCATTTTGAACATTTCACACAAAAAAAGGAAAGAAATCTTTCCTTATTTTTCATTGCAGAACAACCAAAAATATACTTACTAATCAAAGGAAAATTGATTATCACTTACATTGTACTGCATATGATGCCAGCACAACAGCAGAATTAATAGGGCATGACAACCTGGAAAAGGAGAAATTATTTAGACAATATGAACACAAGTGTGAGCATGGTATTTTCAATTATTTCAGCAAGTAAAGACTTTTTATCTTCAAATTGTGTCTGATTTTTTCTTGAGAAGTTTAACCATCAAATCAAACAGACAGCAGAGGTTAGTTGTTCAACATTTTCTTACACAAATAGATGTACCTCATCCTAAAAGGACATATTCTTGCTGGACACTTATTCTGGAAACCAAAGAAGGGATTTTTATGCAACGCTGGACATCATTTTAATAGCTGCCATCCAATGTATTTAAAACTAAACATAAACGCTAAAATTAGCCAAATGCCAGTACAAAGACAGCTCTGATCTAATGTTCAGATGTAATTCCATAACCGACACCTACTAAGAGATCCTAGAGGCAATTTCTATTTGGCAGGAAATATCTGGACCAACTTTTTGTACAAATACAAAGGAATTGGGCAAAGGAACCACCGTGTAAATGTTCATTATAAAGAGAAGATATCCCAAGACTAAAGAGAAACAAAAGCATGAACTGCTGTTTACGAAATTTATGTATGTGCAGAAACAACATCTCCCACAGCTTACTCACAACAGACTCATAAACTGCTCTTAAGTCAGCTACACGAAAATCTGAAGTGTTTCAAAGCAACTCATGTTTTTTTTTTAAGCAGTATTTCATAAGGTACATCTTTATAGCAGCAATTGGTACTCTCCGAAAAAAAGGCTTATTTGTTCACTTTTAAAGAGAATTATGGAGAAGTTGAAGATTCTTATTACCTTCCTTCTACAATGTCAGTCTTCAGTTGCAAGAAGAATAAGTGCCTAGAAAATATTTTTTTGAAAAATGAAAAAAAAAACCACAACACTCATATTTAAAAGGCATTATTTAAATTGGTAGAAGTATTGATTTCATTTTATTATGGAGTTAAGTTCCCTGGCAAACCATAAAACAGATGAATAAAGTTTAGTGGCATTTACAAATATGTACTCACACACCCATCCTTTTTCACAACAGTTTTAAGGATCTTTGACCATCAATACTACAACCACAGGACCACAGTATTTATGCCATAACAAACACTGCAAAATACTGCTGTGCAAAAAACTGCTCTACAGAATCAGGCTTCTTTTCTTCTAGGATTACCTATTTGGGATATAATTTATTTTAAACATTCTTTGAGAGTTTATCTTGGGACTGTTTTTAATGACCAATGGAGGATGAGATGTTTGTCAAGCAGCATACACTGACAAAAGCTCTTGAACAATCCCCCAACAGCCATTCAGCCTTGCTCACATTAGAATGTTTGACAGCGCTACTTGAGAGCAGTAGTGGAGAGCTGGGAGTAAAGAATCGCAGAGAACAAGTCTTGGAATCATTTCATAGATTCATAGAATGATTTGGTTTGGAAGGGACCTTTAAGATCATCTAATTCCAAACCCCTGCTATAGGCAGGGACACCTCTCTCTAAACCAGGCTGCTCACAGCCTCATCCAGCCTGGCTTTCAACGCTTCCAGGGAAGGGGCATCCATAACTCCACTGGGCAACTTGTTTCAGTGTCTCACCACCCACACAGTAAAGAATTCCTTCCAAACATCAAGTCTGAATCTACCCTCTTCCAGTTTAAAACCATTTCTCCTCATCCTGTGGCTAATGTAAGTTTAGAGCTGCAGGACAGTTTACAAACTGCATAAAGAGCAAATATCAAAATGGGTGACAACTTAATTTTCCTGTTAAAAAAAAAAAAAATCACATATAATGTTTTACTATTTATGTTCTCAAGGTACTAAAATTAACTAGTAGACAAACAAAGAAAGCATTTCAAAAATGCCAGATCTAGAAAACAAGTACTGTTACCTGCTCTTCCTGAAACAAAATAAACAATGCCCTGGAAACAAATCTACTACACACATTCAGAATTAACTCAGTACTCATACAAAGAAAAATCTGATATGCTCAGGGCACGCAGACAGCATAATCACTGAACTTCCCATTTTTTAATCATTGCATCTGGTTAATTAAGGGATTATAAAAGAAGGTAAGCAAAACAGGCAGCCATGAAAGGTTCAGAAATAGAATCCAAGGTGCAAATAAAACAAAGATTTGTGTAACTAACTTACGCTCTACCAGTATTTTCGAACTGTGGACTGCTTAAAGCAGAAACCATTTATTACGAGCATTACACAAAGCTTCTAATTCTAAACACATTTAATACAAACAATTATAAGGTTATGCTGTGTAATATTACATAACATACTGCAGTTTGCCATGTTGTGGAGGTGGAAAGGAGGGCTTTAGACATACTTAGTTTAGGGAATTAAACATCAGACATTACCTGGTTTGTTCTTGCTGAAGTGTGTTTGGATCAGGTATGAAAAACCTTACACGAAAACGAAGGGTGCAGGGAAAACCTCCTAAAACATTTTAGAACACCAAATCAATTTTATTTTTAAAAAACATACACCCTAAGTTCTTATGTTTATGTTTACAGAAAAATTACTCAAATAATCCCATTGTAATCCCATCTATTTTACTTGTGGTTTCTTATTATTTTGAGAAGTCTCTTCCAATCTCCCTCACCAACCACAATTAGAAAATATCCTTACATATTCTGATGCTTTCATTTTAAGTACTTACATAAAGGTACTATTTAGTTATCTTTGCTGCTTTACTCGATTATTGAAAAAGGAAAAAGCAGCAGATGTATATGAAGCATTTCAATCAGGATAATTCTTAATTATAGAAAAACAAAGGAACACCAGAAGTTCACAGTCTCAACTTCTAACATTTTTTTTTATCCAAATTCCTACACAACCTACAGCATACAGTAAAAATAAAAAGATCTTAAAAATACAGCTCAAGTTTTCTAACAGAAATTGGGACTGTCACTCAAGTTCTATTACACTACATTCTCTAGGCTGCTGTACATGCTGTAGCATGCTGGCTGGCCTGTCCTCAAGCTCTCCTTTTTGGTAAACCTGTGCCACTCAAAACTGTTTATGAACAAAACAAGACCAGAACAATGCATGGACTTAGAAGTACTTTTTTTTTTTTTTTGTTAAAAACAAGCATAAAATTAAGTTTCCTATGTTACTTGAGACAAAAATTGGCCAGAACCTGTGCATGAAACTGGCTCGGCTACCCTCAAATTCCCTCTTTCTTATCTTCCATGTAAGGATGAATTTACTAACACCATAAGCTGACTTCTGCTTTCACAGCCCTGATGCCCAATAATGCTGAGATGCCTGTTGCAGACACTGTTACAGCACAGTTAGTGACTCATCAGGTCCTAATAACACCCAAGCAGCAGGAAGATAATGCAAAAAGTTCTGCTTAAAAGACTGATAGAGCTAAGACTTGCTCTAAAAGAAAATCTAACACAGAAAACCTGAATTACACATTTACAATCAAGAAATAAAAACCAAGTCTTACCTTTTAACTGTTTCCTAATAGGTTTGTTTGGTTCAAGCCATCGCTGTGAAATGAAAAACTATTAGATGGATTAAACATATTTACAAATAATGGCTGTTTATTTTTATATGCATGTGTATGTATATATACATATGTACATATACATACACACACATTTATTATTTATATACTTACAGGTGAATCTACTGAAGTTTCATTTTGCTGTAAACCGAAATATTCCTTTTCTGTCACACCCAACTGACTATAGGTCATATCCAGCAAAATCTGACCAGTGTCTTGTTTCTGAAAACAAGAAACATTTAGAAGTGAAACTGTGAAACACTTACATATTGTAAGACACAAATAATTAAATAAGTTTTATTTAGGAAAAAAATAAACCAATTGTGAATAAAAATAGCAGCTAATTCATTTGTCCAGTTTCTCAATAATGTAAGAGAGTTTTATTATGAAAAAAAGTATTTTTCTTTTTGTTTTTAAATAAAAGAGACTTTCCTCCCAAAACAAATTAGGTGTCCCAAATCTCACAATATGAATTGGTATGAACACAAGTTATTGAGGTCAGCCCAGCAATTGACTTTTATTCAAGTCATCCCTCCCTCAATCAGTCTTCAGGAGCAATACCCTTTTCTGGAGTAATAACCTGCAATCATGGCTTACAGCCACATGAGGCTGCTGCAGCTCTTGATGTCATCCCAAAAGCAGCTCTTTCCATCTCCACATAGTTTTCATAAGGGAAAGTTTGTATACACCAGAATGAAGAAAAAAAGGCAGGAGGAAGTTGTAACTCTAGCTATTAGATCCTGGATTTCAGCCTGAATTCCCACTGACACTACTACCACTATGCCGCAACACTTTCTGCTTAGACATCTTTCCAGTCAGGTATTCCCAGAAGAACCAGAGTAAACAGGGAATCCCAGGGGACATCAAGACATGTAAGCACGGTATTTTTTTCCCTGAAATTAAATTAGCTTATCATCACACCACTGCATTGTGGACTACTGACAACCAGCGTCCGTCAAAGAAAACACTAATCAATGCTATTAAAGAAAAAAAAGAAAAACAGAACCCCCTCAACAAGACTGCAATCTTAAATATGCTAACATGTAACATACATTGCAACAAGGTACAGAGCTTCAAATGTAGTCAAACCAGGCCAGTTTGCTTCGCATCTTGTCTATTAAAAAAAAATTATACGCATGTAAAATTTTTCATAAGATCTTGTGAATTTTATTCTTAAAAGCAGAAATAAGTTGCATATGTGCACAAAAGTGACATAAGTGGAAAATTTTTCATGCCACAACACAAGTGCTTTGCTTAAAAAAATATCAAAGGACAACGCACATGCATTATAGTGATCACATCTCTGTGGATGGCCGGATGGCCTTATTCAGTGTGTAAGAACACTCACTGAAGCACTCAACATAATATGGCATTCAACTCCCTTCGTCTAAAACTTATTATACAACAATCAAGTCCTGCTCAGAAGACAGATTTACCTGTTTCTGTTTTCTTGTTTTGGTTTTTTTTTTTTTTTTTTTGCTTTGTTGTTTCTTGCTTTGACTTTTTTCCTCAAGCTTTTTTTCTTTTTTTTTTTTTTTTTTACAGTGCTGCACCAGCGCTGTAACTGAGTGCTTTAAATATTAACATAGTCCATAGTCTCCTCTTACCTCATAAAAAACTTTCTTATTTAGAAGATAAGGAAACCAAAGATTCAAGTGAAAGACACACACCTTATTTGGAAGTACTGAATATTACTCAGTACTTGCTACTGCTAGAGCAGAGCAGAGCTCCAGCAACTCCACTGAGATGTGTTCGTTCACTATTTCTTCACCAGACTTCAGACAAAAGGTAAGGTAATAACAGCCAATAGCTATGAAAAGCTACGCCTAGTTCTCCAGAGCAAAGTTTCACAAGAAGAAAAATGTAGGCAATGCTTAACTCTTACATATGAGACTAGCCTTTCCCCTTTGACAGGCTCTCCTACTTTCCCCTTCCAAACTAAAGCACCTATCAATACCAATTTCTTTTTTCCCTTGAAACAGCAGACTTCAGTATAAAAAATGCAGCATCTCAGTGACAGGCAAAAAGCATGCAAATAAGCATTCCTCATCACACATGGCCATGATGTGCACTTTGAAGGCAGTCCTGTCCAGCACTGACAATGAGGTGGGCTCTTATACAATGACTGAGTTTTATCAGAGAGTAGCAATACATGTACACAAGATCTCCCAATAGAAACAGCAAAAGCAACCAGGATTCTCTGAAATAATGGACATTTCCTGAGTTATGCTCCCCAGAATTCTATGTTATTGTTTTTGGGTTTTTGTTGATAACATTGCTTGTTCTTTTTCTTGGAAGCAGAACATTAAAAACTGTCAAGAGGCATCACATGAAGCCTGCACAACTCCGAAGCATGGCTTCGCATCTCTGGAGCATACTTCTAACACTGAGCTAATTGAGAAATTAACGGTTATTTTGTAACCAAAAGCAGTAATTACTTGGAATGATGCATACACTTCAATCAAAAAAGTTTGGGAATTTGGGGTTTTGCTACCAACAGACGAAGAGAAGATTACGGTGAGCAGATTATACTGCTGACTTCCTCTAAGCTCAGACATTCCCAATACCCTTTCTTTTCAACAGCACTGCCTCCCAATTCCCGTATCATTTTTAACACTTCTGGTCTTTCAATCCAATTCAGACATTTCCATCTTCTCTCTCTCTCTCTCTCTCTCTCTCTCTCTCCCCCCACCTTCCCTCAGTGGTGCATCTCTCTTTCTCTGCCATAAACAAAATTCTAAGCCTTTTTACTCCTTCCCTCTAAAGCCAAGCAAGCTCCCTGTTTCGATATTCTGAATCCCAGCCCTAGATGTTCAGCCACTGCTAGTTTCCTCTACTTGCTTAGCATTCCTTTTTCTTCCTCTTCTGCATTTCTTTTCACAAGCAGTTGCGATCACTTTCATGTACTCCAATCTCTGGTATCTCCAATCTCTCTGGTATCAAAAGCACAGATTTTCTTCTCCACAGTGCGTAGATCAAGCACCCACTCCAGAAACCTATGCCACATTTAAGAAGTCATTTCCCACTGTTAAAATCTTTTTCAGTTGTTAAAATCCCTGCAGTTTTGTTTTGCTTTTCCTTAGCAAAAGTGTACATTAGCCTTTCTTTTTTAAGAAACAGATGCATCATTTTTCAGTATACATATTATATTTTTCTCTAACCAGAAATTACTCACACAGCTCATGCTGCACAATCTTCAGTCTCTTTTGCACATAAACAAGCTTCAGATCCAGCTATAAAGTGAGGTAGGCTAAGAATGTCATCACATCTTTTTTTGAATTTTGACATCCATTCCACAAACAGCCCTAATACAAAGCACTCAAACACTATGAAGTATCAAATGCTTATAACAGAGTATTTTTACTTCCATCCTCCATAGAAAGAAGCAAAGCAACATGAACATCACTCAGCTAAACTGGACATCAGAACCAAGTTTTCAACCCTACAAATTCTTACAGTGAGTAGTTAAAGCTCTTAATAATGCTCTTCCTTTTTTACGAATGAGCTAAGAAATTAAGCACATTCCACACAAGTATTGTTAGTGAGTACCACCTTGTGATAGTTTCTTGTTTCTGCTCTGAAAGGAAGTCTCCATTTATTTCAATTTTCTGAGATCTATCAATCCTTATTCTGGTGCTAAGGGTTTTGTGTTCATAGAATTAATTTGCATTTGTAGAGGCGTTAATCACCTCACAGCCACACATCATTCAGATCCATTTAAGCCTGTCCTGAAATTGCTTACACCTTATGTTGGATACACCAAAATTAATATTTAAAGCTGTCACAGCTTATACTTAGTACTGCCTGCCTGTGCTACCACATGAGCTCCTTAATTACAGCAGGAAATTATTAGGCAAGCCCAAAATCTTCTTGATAGAAATTAAAGAGAAAGAACCCCTTCACTAGTTTTAATATCAAGTACTTCCCATCAGCTTGTATGATCAAAGGTCCTCAAAACTGTAAACCGAATGCAAGTGAAGACTGATAGTTCTTCAGAGCAGAAGGGTAGACATGCAAGTAAACCTTTCAGTTTGTTAACTCTAAAAAGGGGCACAAAGCAGCACCTTAACTGGACAGTGCAACACATATCCTTGTCTTCCTTCACAAGAGCTGTTCCTTCCATGCCTGCCCAAGCTGGAACTTGCCTCTTGTCTGCTTGTGATTGTGCACGTGACTTTCCACAGAGTCTGGCCCCAATGCCAAGACTAACACTGCTAATACTTCCTTGACGGTGGCTCAAAATTCCTGCCTGATGTACAGTAGCACTCACCTTATTCACAGCCACAATACTAGTAGATCAAGCCACCAGTGACTTCCTCCTCTATTCTTCACTACAGAAAACTAAGCTACAAAGGGAAAAAAAAAACAAACAAACAAACAAAAAAAAAAACGAAACAAAACTATCAACCACCCACAGCAATACTACCTAAAGCTTTTAGTTCAAAGCATTGATTTTCCAATTTGCAGCAATCCATCTGCGACATCATACCCCTGTACCTTTTTTATTAATAATGATGCCTCAGACCTTACACTTTTCTATTTACTAAAAAAATTGAATATCGTGTTAATGAAATTCGCCACTCAGGAACTCTGCCAGTAATGCCCAATTCTGTTAGCTTTTTTCAGCAGGAACAACTGGCACCTTGAGTCAATTCCCTGCCCATCCTGCAAATCTGCTAGATTCCACATACTACAGCTCAGTATTATCCTATACAAAGTCACACAAAATAGTTATCTAAGCCTAATGAACACTGACCCACTGCATTTCCTGTGTCTAAAAACAATATATGTCTAAATACATATATGAGGTTAGTCACTCCAGATCTAACTTTGGAAAATCCTCCTCTACACCAATTCTTTCCTCCAGCGTTTATTATGAAGTCAGGCCCCAGGAAGGGATCAGACTAATAAGCCTGCAGTAGGCCAGATCACTTTCTTGCTCTCTTCAAAGTCATCATCAGGTTTCATGCCCTTATTGCTTTCCAATCATAGAGTACCCTGATCTGTCTCAACATACAACTAAATATTTGTTGCCAGTCTGAAATTTCATACAGCAGTTTTCAACAGAGAGATGCAGATTAGCACCAACCTCTCCTGTATTATCCCACATCATCCAGCAGGAACACTTTGTGATGAAGATGACACTTTATTATCCCATTTTGCTATGAGCAGTTTAAAGTCATAATGCATACCCACAATTAAAACAAACCTTTAAGAAAACCACTGCTCATTGTTTTACACATACCAATACTAATTGTTGGTGCTAACCATAACAAGCATATTCCTTTTCAAACAATTGAAGGAGTTTGATTGAGATGGCATGGAAAAGATACACAAAAACATTCATACAACTCTTCATTATTACAGCCAAATCCTTTTATTTTTCAAAGGAAAGACTATTTATAGAAGGAAGCCAAGTAATTTAAAAGCAAAAAAAAAAAAAAAAACCCACCAAAATACAGGTACTAAAGACAAATGCTGACTGTGCTTCAGAAAGATAATGCAATATAGAAATTATCTGACATTAAGTTTTAGGTTTCCCAAAGTTCAGTTAGCTGGAAATTGAGATGTATACATCCCAAGTAGTCATTCTTGGTAAATGAGTCAAAGAAGATCAATAATGGAAAATTCTTATGTGTTTATATCAAAAGTTGCAAATAAATATGCATTACTGCTCAATATACACCTATTAAACATACCTAAACATGGTACATGGGCACATTCTGTATATATTAGACTGATATTATCTTCCCCATGTGGAAGGCAGAGTTTACTTCAGAGACAAATAAATTCACCTTACCACAGAATTCAGACACCTAACATATATTAGAAGGCTTCCAAAAAACTTGAATAAAATCAAATACAACATTCCATGCCAAGTACAGTCATGTCTTGGTCTTGAATGGTTTTTTTTGTTGTTTTTTTGTTGTTGTTGTTGTTTGTTTGTTTTTCTTAATGTTAAGACGTTTTGGCTACATACACATTCCGTTCTTTGGATGGACATCGGACATTTTCCATCTAAACAGTGAAATACATGACATAAGAAAGACAAGACAGGCCACTTCGGGCTGGTAAGGTTAACATACATCTATTTGAACAGCAAACAAAGAAGCAGTGTGTCTCTTTGTACTCTAGTGCAAATTTTCTTGATAACAATGATCTAGAGAACAGCAGGTACCACAAGTGATACTAATTAACTCTTTGTGAGATCATCAATATAAATTTTGTATTCATCAAAACTGTAAGTTATTTAACATGAAAACAGTGAACAATAGCAAAAAAGGCTACTTCCACTATCACGCTCAAGTTAAAATTCAGAAAAAAAAAGACACTGTTCCCTTGAAATTAAATCTCCCTTTTCACCTGCCAAACAGCACTCTTTAGTATACAAGCTTAACAAGAAGAAATTCACAGAAATAAATTTAGCAGCGAAATTGGGATCTTTCAGAAGACAGGAAGTCCCTTGTGTTATTTTCACAAGTAAAAATCATCTTCCTACTTCCACTGCTCCATTTCAGGATGGTTAGTTTTCGTTCAGATTACTACAGATACAATCACTTGGAAAAAAAGTTCCACGTAGGAGAATGAAAGAGATGACTACAGTTACCGTTTTAAAAGCCTTCAAAACCTATACAGTTTGCTAACAAAGTGAGGAAATTGAACTACAGTGACAGCAGAATGATCCAGCTGCTATGGAATAAAGAGAAAGTCCCATTCTCTGGAGAACAGTCTCTGTTCTCCAGAAGGTTCAACATTTGGTGATTTCTTGAGTACTGTACCACCATTTTAAAGACGTCAGTATTAGTTCAAAATAGTTCCTCTCTTCAGCATGTCAATAGATTGAGACTATTTAGTCCATTATCTCTGTATTAAATTTAAACTCTCTTCAAATTCATCAGTACTAAGCATCTGTGCAGTGACAATCACACATTAGAAAGTACAATCTAAGAAAATACATTTGCCTAAACTCAAAGAAAATTTCTTTTGTGCCACTTCTACTCTTCATTTATTTATTTATTTATTCCCATTTTTCTCTATAACATTCCTACACCTGGTAAATAAATTTTCTTGCTGTAAGAATTCTGTGTTCAGATAACTGCTGCATGCCATTAGAATCAGAGGAGCCTTTATTTCCACCCAGGCTATCGCATGAAAATCGTAGATCAGTCAAGTACCCTTAGCCAACAAACTAGCCCTGAAAAAATGCCAGCATTTGTTTTCCACTGATCGACTGAAGTTCTCTGTTCACAGACATAAAAACAAATGGTCTTGGCCATGCATGAAAACAGATGCATGCACACAAACTCTAGGAAGCTGAATTTTTCTGTTAATGTAAGCAGAAGTCAAATATGAATTTTCAGCAGCTTGCTTCTAATCCTTTTCAGAAATAGACCCAATCAGAAAGTGGCAAAGTCTGCCCTGAGGCAGACCTCGAGTTTAAGGAATCCGGAAGGACAAGGGCTCCCCCAGTATCAATATGAGAGCTCAGTGTTCCAAGGACATCAATCTTCCTGAAACTGGTCCTTGTATTAAGACAATTTACCTGGATAGCCAAGCCTCTCGCTTCTTTTAAACAAAGGGTCCTGTACTACTTCAGGGCAGTTCAGCATTATAGCTGCAGTGAAGGAGTCCCTTCTGATCCTTGGATCAAGGAGATAATCAGCAGAGACACCCTGAGGGTACCTTCAAGGCAGGGAGCTACATCAGCTGAGCCCTGAGTTTCGTAAAGGTTTTGATGATTGTTAGAACTTGCTGCTCGAAGGATGAAATGAGAAGCACAAATTCAGGTGTGCAGTGTTAGATTTCAGACTAAATGCTAAGTCTAAAGCTGTGTAAACATTTGTTCACTGGGAAGAATATACTACTATGCAGGGATTTCAAGAAGTTTTAATTCTTCTTTTTTCAAAGGTCCTTGTGCATGAGGGGGCATTTAGGCCAGATCTATTCAAAACTGACATGCTGGAAATAATGAAAATTTGCTATTCACATACTGCCCTTTCTCTTATATGTTTGCCCCTTACTATCTTACTCCTGAGCGTTAGACACTTCACATTATACTTATATAACAATGTCTGTATTTGTGCAAGCACCTACGTATACATTATTTATATATGTATACACACACATGTACACATGTGAAAATGTGTATATGAGTATCTATAGAGGATGTAAATACATACAAGTATATAGTGGATAAAAAGCATACTAAAATATTAGACTAATTCTGTGCATACTGAAATGAAAACATTAGAATAAGAATGAAAAAAAATCACCTGTTTGGCAAGAAAATTCATTTTCTTTGAATAAATACCCAACAGATAAACTTCAGAAATAAAGTCACTCTGGTAAAAGAACGAAGAGTCTCCTTTAAATACGAATTACTTATTCACAGCTGATAGCAATCAGCATATCTGTTTCTTTGTTGTTACCATATCATGCAGAAGACCTTTCACCAGATACAAGAGTCACAAGGAGACTTTATGACACCTTAGTCTGTTGCTTTAGAGAAAATTAAAACATCACTTTATCAATCTATTTCATAACCAGTAAATCTGGAATTTGAAACGACAAAGCTACATCTTCAATATCTTGTGGAAATCTCATACCTTCGGGTCCCATATTTGATCTTCAGCTTGCAAATGAACACTAATTGATTTAAAACAAAAACATAGTTTTCCAGACTTACGTTGACTTTGAAGCTTTGTATTGAGCCATCCAAAAAGTGAACGTTACAGGTTATCTCTGATCGAGTTTTCTCTTTTGGTAGTTCTGATGCTCGTATGTTATTTATCCTCCCACCTAAGGCTCGTAAACGGGAGTTCATAACTATTGCTGAATAACCTATAAAACAAAAAATACATTAAATATCAGTTCTTACAATTCACTTATGTTTCATCAACAGCCTTCAGAGAAACACAACAACATAAAGGCCTTATTACAATCCAACTACTTAAGAGTAACAAAAGCTTATACAAGAAAATGAATTGTAAATAACAGCAGGGTCTAAACCAGAACATAAATAAGTACTGAGATTTCCATGCTCCAAATCTACTTATGATTTTGTTAAATATATTAATTACTGCAATGTATCCTTAAGTTAGACCTGGGCCATTGCCTTAGTCTGAAAACAAACAAAAAAAAAAAAAAAAAAAAAAGGAACTCAATATTTTAGAGCCTACCATACGTAAATTCATGAAGACAAAAGTACATCCAAGAAAAACTCAAAAATATATTTTCAAATTTTTCTTGGAAAAATCTTCAACAAGATTTGTACAATCTCTGAAAACAAGTGTTTCCAAAACAGCAAAATATATATATTTTTATAATAATAATAATAATAAATAAACTATTCACCAAAAGAGCTAACACAAACACAGTCAAGCCTGTAAACATTTCAAGCCTCTCTCCACTAGATCAATTTACCAATTAACATCAGAACATATAAAGCCAGGTGGCAAGTGAAGCTGAGGATAGTTTTCCAGGTTAGTTACCACACCAATTACCGAATCATACCTCACTTATTAGAGGCTAGCTACAAAAAGACTTGCATAATGTGAGCATTTCCTAGACAGCTGGCCAAGCCAGACAGGAGCAAGGTCAGGACTATTTTGAAATACACCCCTTCTTCTCTGCCTAACTTAAAAACATAGCAGGTTTATTTTTTTCATTTGTTTAAAAAGCTAAAGAAACTGAAGTTCTCAAAATAAAATTCTGAAACATCATTCCTACTCCCCTTATCCCTATATAAAAAACAAACAAACAAACAAACAAAAAACCATGAAATGCATGAAGAGCCATGAGAAACAAAATATTAGAGTACTGAAGACTATAAAAAGCAAAACAGTGAATGGTCAGTCAATTCATAGTTTGCTACTTTCTAAAACTGAAACCATATTTATATTGCTAAGACTGATTCAGCCAGCCAGCCCATTGCCTTTTTTTCCCCCACTGGAACATCAACAATATTTTTTTCTTACTCTTTTCCAAACACACATTCTTTTGTTGCTTTAAGGAAGGAAAAAAGAGGTGAATCCTAGATGAATTCTGAGCATGATTTTCATATAAAGCACTACATACTCCTATTACTCTGAAATTCTTGTTCTTGATATACAATCTGCATTTACACATAGCACATTAATATTTTATTTTTTTCTACCCAGGTCTTATTAAAGGAATAGTTGCTAAAGAAAACACACAGTTACCTAATTATCAAGGGCATCCAAAGAGATGAAAATGCTAAGAATGCATTGTTCCTAACAGTTACATTTTCAACTACTTATTCACCACTGAGTTCATCCATTACCAAAAAGCCAGGTGACTATATGAATTATACTGCAGTCTTTTCTCCCTTTTGCACTCCTAGAGGTCAAGAACATGTCACTGCAGAAAGTGACAGACCACTGTCACTACCTGCCAGGCCACTGATTGGTAAGAGAAGAAAATTATTTCCTGGGGCTAGCCACAAGATGAGGAAGCAGCTTTTTCTACACTGGTGCAAACCTTGGTCAGCTGGCAGAGGGCAGCCTCATGCTGCCCTTGAGGGCTCAGCCTGCACTGTGAAGACCTGTGCTCAATCAAGCTTACACACTCACCCACTCTTGGGAAAATCCCATCTGACCCTCTCACTTCTCTGCATATTTACTTAACCTCTATACAAAATTCAGCCACTGCTCCCACTGCCTACAGCATACTTCCAGGTATTCTGTTGAATACTAGCAAAAGATAACTGGATTTTCACATTAAAGCTGTTTGCAACAAGAACAAAGTTCCATTTGGAAGGTTTTCACAAATTTTTAATTTTTGATTAAATAGTATTTTTTAATGCTCCTACAGAGAACATGCAATATGCATCTGCAGAATTTCTATGGCTCTCCTCCAGCAAGTCAGAACTACTCTTTTCCATGCCACAAACCTGTTCATCTGTCTCCAAGAACCAGTGTAAGTTGGCTAAGTGCTAATAGTAACACTTCCTCAGTATACTGCTACTTGTCACAAAATCCGAGAGGTGCCTTACTGTAGGCTAAAGTTTGTTTTCTTACAATAGCTCTTCACAGTTGGGGCTGGATGCCCAACTTGGAAATTTATCACAAGAAAAGTAAACCTTCTAGAGAGACTGATTTGCAAAGAGCATGCAAAAGAAAATTTAGAATTCCTTTTTTCCTTTTTGTCCCCCGTCCCTCCCCCCCCACCTTCCCCCCAATTTGATGTAAAGTGAGATCACTAACACAGTTGGAGCTCTCAGACTGTGCCTACAACATGCACAGATCATCACAGGGCATCAGCCCTGCCCACAACAGGGAGTTCAAACTATATGGTCTTCAGAGAACCTTTCAACCCAAGCCATTCTGCAATTCTATGAACAATGCAGCTGCTTTGGGACACAGAAAGGGTCCCTGTGCTGATAGACAAGTGCAGCCCTACTCTGAACACCTGCAGGCAGCATCCAGCCCCAAGCTGCCAGGGCAGCCATTACATGCAAATCCTAGCTTCCCTTTTGTAGCTTCAGTGGGATGTTAATTCCAAAAAAATGGGAACAAAACAAGATACATCTGAACATTATCAATAAAACTATAGTCTTATTGATAACTCTTATTATCAATAAGAGAATAGTTTCACATGTATATACCTCTTACTAAAATGAGCATGTCAAATTCAGGAAGTTGAGTAATAATTTAAAAAAAAAAAAAAAGAAAGAAACCAAAACGGAATAAACAACCCCAAAACAAAGTTGTTTTCATACGGAAGTATAAAACCAAACACATAGAACTCCATCCCATAATCAAATTTTGCAATAAGCTCACAGGAGCAAAAAACTTAACCACGGAAAGAGGTTAATGTTTTCCAAGTACATTAAATGCATTTCTGAACAAGTTTGGTTATGCGTGGCTTCCCCAAGAATTAAGCTGCAGCCAAGCAGAACGAAAATAATGTGTTTTCTTTCACTTTTGTATTGAAGACCGACTTTTTAAAGAGGCCTTTTCCATTCCGGCTTTTCACGTCTTTGCAACTCACTTAGAAACTATTGGTAAAGAAACTTATGAGCCAATTCTCAGCATAACTATCGTTAGCATGTTTGCTACCAACAAATTAAATCAAGAACAGCTTTTCTGCTTATATTCTTTTCGACCTTCTACGTAGAATCACAAGAAACAACTACAAACTCCTGAAAAATACAATAATCATCATTCATTCAACAGAACCATTATGTAAACGGAGAGAATTTCTACTCCTGCAATGTACGCACGTATGTTTTTTTCCTCCTCTGAAAGAGACTGCTGTCCTCTAAACATTCTTATATTTTCTTTAGAATCACAACTGAAAACTCATGGTTCTGTGTTGGTCTACTGAAAATTCCTATACTACAGAGCATGGGAATGTCATTTATGAAAAGTTAGCACTACTCATTCTGGAGGACTGAATTTGGGGAATGGGAAGGGCAGAAAGGCAAATGTGGGTGGAAAATGGCAAAAAAAATGGGCAATTTGGGGCTCAAAAGGGCCAAAAATGAGCACTTCGGGGTTCAGAAGGGCCAAAATGGGCATTACTTGCATTATCTGAGTAACCTCAACTAAAAATGAGTATTTTAATTACAAAGTCCTGTACAAAATTTCAGTAAGGGTTACATTTTATGGCTACCTGTTGCTTTATTCAAAACATATGAAATAAAATCATAGAACGTGTTGAGCTGGAAGAGACCTAAAACGATTATGGAGTTCAACTCCTGGCTCCACACAGGGTTACTCAAAACTGAAACCTTATATCTGAGAGTGTCGTCGAGATGCTCCTTCAGCTCCAGTAATTTGGTGCCACAACCGCTGCCCTGTGGAGCCTGTTTCATGCTCACCACCTCTAGTGAAGAGCCTTTTCCAAACACCCAACCTCCACACCCCTCCAATGAACAATGAATACCCCCATTCCATGTTGTACACCCTGAATTTTGGAGAAAAAAAAAAAAAACATGACTGGGAATACAAAGACAGGTAACACGTTTAAGATGTCTTTGTATCAATTTATAGCCCTACAAAAACAACATAAATGGGCTTTATCATGCAAAAGCTTTCCCTGTTTACTGACTGAAATGATCTCCCAAATAATCACCACAAAAAACAACCCTAAAAATCCAATTTATAAACCACACTCTGACTCTTCCTCCCATACACTGAAGTATTATTTACACATTTTGAAGCCACATCTATCACCAATGCTTTTTAATGAGGGTTAGATTATTAAGCTAGCTTTCCTGAACGGAAGCCTGAAATTTAACTAAACATCCATGAAAACAAGTTTCTGTTTTCACCTTCTACAGAGACAACTCTCCTTTTTCACATTACCAATATGAAAGTACATCTCACCATTAACTTAAAATGCAGCTCTAATGCCTCATGAGAAAATCCCACTAACTATTTAACCACAATATAATATTTGCAAGTTTTCGCTCAAATTAAAAGGGCATTTCTAAAGCCACAAGCAAAGTAAAAAGATAAGCTCATTTTGAGCAATGCACACATCACTAACTCCTTAACTATAGTTATTTCCCACAGATTTTGCCTGACAAACTTTGCTCAGAAGTCACACAGAAAGGTATCTGGGAAGCCATTAGTATCAGGTGGTAAAACTTGCATCACTAGAGAGAAAAATCAACTAAACCATAAAAACAGAACATCTATGAAATATAAAAGCACAAAAGCTTCAGACGAAGAAACACTGAAGCTTATGGTATAAAAATACCTCCAGATTAAGATATAAAGCATTAGAGGATCCAGTGCTGTAGAATCTTCTTACTTAGAGCAGAAATTAAAGTTAATACCCACATCTCCAAGGCAGTAGCTGCAAGTTCTCCA